TGAATGTGATCCTGTTTTTTCTGGTCGCTCTACATCATATCCCGGAAATTTAGCATCATCCGAATTTAAACAAACATTAATTGACTTCTTGTCATCGGAGGGTGAAGAAAATCTAAATTACTTTTTCCATTATACTCTATTGGAGAGTATGTGTACTGATTTAAATAACAATTTACCTGTTGTAGGGTACAAAGTAAGTCAATGATATTCAAATTTATATTCATTTATAAAATTGTAAAATTCGAAATAAAGTTATAGTAGGTTTACATTGTACCGGATTTATTAAATCCAGTAGATCTTATTGTCAATTCCATTACCTATATGTCAAATAAATCCTCATAGAGGAGGTTAACCCGGCTAAAAGTTCTAATGTAAATATAGTGTTATAAAAAAAACTTTTTATCGATTTAAAACTAAATATGAATGTTCGTTTCGACTATTACCAGCCAATTCAGGTTCATTTCTTCATACTTATCGATATTTATTTTATCTTTCCAGTTTATGTTACAATTAATAGCTAGAAATTGGCCACAAATTTGTTCCTCAAATATGGCCAGTACCGCAATGCTAAAACATTCCTATCAAAATCGTAGCAATATCTGCTTAAGTATATTGTGGGCAATAGGTCAAGGAGGCTATGAAAATCTGATGGTGGGCATAAGAGGTAAGCTGCAATTTCATTATGCAAAAAGGAGACTGACTAATTTGTAATTTTCTATATTTTTTGTTAGTGTGGCAAAATTTAATGCTTCCAAATTTAGAGATAAAAAGTTACTCTCGCTTTGTAACCGAGTACATTGAAAAGATTTTGAATGTGGCCACGGATCAAAGGTATGTATTTTATTTTCATACAAATATACCAAATGTTAACAATAATTTCTTTTCATTTATTTTATCTCCTTAGAATACAATTGAATCAAAATGAGTTCTTTGAAATATATAATGCATTGAAGGCTCACTATCCTAGTTTACCCCGAGATTGCCAACAATCTTTAGTTAGAAGTTCGGAAATGTTTTTGGTATGTGTTTTAATTCTTTTAACAGAAATATTTATTATTAATATTTATTCTTCAAATATAGCAAAAATTCATTAGGAATTGCAATAAACATGCAAATCTCTTCCTTACACTCCTACGCAGTATTGAGAATCCTACTAAGAGCAGTATTGAAACGAATGGTTGCCTTTCGTGTCTCTTACATAGTGATGAGGACTGTTTTAAGGTGTGGAAAATGAATTACAAAAAACAGTTGTTACCCACCATTTATTTGTTGCAAAAAATTGGTATGTTCACATAATGTCTGTTAAGAGAAGATATTGGATTACATTTTATTTATTTTTAGAATATGAATTAGCTGAAAGTGCTTCATCATTGGCAATGTCTTCTGCATTCCATGATTTTCTAAAAGATGCTGTACAATTGAATGCTGAGTTGGATTCGGCTAAAAAGCGCGACCCAAATCTGGATACCTTAATAGCTCTAGTTGCGGTAAGTTTTTATTAAAGTATATGTTTTAATTATTGTGAATTTGTTGCCTTATTAAATTGCTGTTGTTGTTGCCGTTTGGTGCAGGAGGGAATATTTATGAACTATGCATTGTATATGGTATTATTACAATATACTCTCAAACCTATTATTTATTTATTTATTTATTCCAAAAATGCAATTTGAAGCCATTAAGGCCGATTTCATTTAAATTGCAAACTATACTACTCCATTTAACAAGATTTCTTAATGATATCTTAGAAGGTATTATTCTAAAAATAATAATATATTTCAATATTTGGCAAGTGGCTAACTACTCAAGTAAGTGTATTAATATCACATATTCAATATTTAGTAATAAACAGCATTGTATAAAATATAAGAATTTAAATTTGTATATTATAAAAAAAGATGTCATACTTTAGTTTAGGTAGAAAAATTGAGAACTACTCCAAAAACATTAGTAAATAATATTATAATTTGTTTAGATATTTTAGACATAAAATCAATTTAAGCATACCCGATTTTCCATTTCGAAGGTATTGCGGAAAGGGTTCATTATAAATCATATTTATAGAGTACAGATAATTAAGTGGAACCGTAGTGGTCTATTATTTTTAATTTATATGTGCTGCTTGATAATGAAAATTGCTTTAGGGAATGCGGGAGCTTATTGAAAGTTCTGGCAATTCGTACCTGAAATGATTTATTCATTTGACCGATAGCTCTTGGAACAATTAATTGGTTTGTTCTGCTTGACCGACAGAATGGAAACATTTGTAGTAGAAAATCAGGACTTTGATTTTTAGTAGCATTATAAAACAGCATTAATGTTCTACAGTCTATAAATCTCCAAAAATGACAACCAAGAAATTCTTTAACTTTAGTGCTAACATGGTCAAATTTTTTAAGCGAAAAAAGATAACGAACAACTCTGTGAATCGATAGCTTAATCCTTTTCATATTTGTTTTGGTTGTGCCAGAGAATATTTCAATGCAGTACAGTATATGAGACATTATTAGTGAGTGCACCAGTTGTAACTTTATATTGCGGGGTAGAATTAAATCCGTGTTATAAAGTTGTCGTAATGTTAAATGTGTATGGGTGACTACATTATCAATATGACTATCAAATGTTAGCTTATCGTCAATAATAATACCAAGGCATCTTATGCTACTGACGATGTTAATTATTTGACAGTTATAAGTGAGTGATAAATTAGAGTGAGCACTACTAGGAAAAACTAAAGCATTTGTTTTTTTAGGGTTAACAATTAACCGGTTGGAATTCATCCATACATACAGCAGATTCATAACACAGTTAAATTTAGCAAGAAGGACATCGGGGCTATCTATAGATGCTTTAAATAAAAGTTGTATGTCATCCGCATATGAGTAAGGAGTACAATAACAACGAATACTGCTAAATAAGTCGTTTAAAAACATAATAAAAAACATTGGGCCCAAGATAGAACCTTGAGGAACACCACTTTTTACAGGTAATACATCAGAGAGAATACCCTGCATGGAAACACATTGATATCTTTCATTTAAGTATGAATGAATCAATTTACAGGCGTTAGGGCTGAAATCATAGAAATTTATTAATTTTCCTATTAATATGCTATAATCAATTTTATCGAAGGCTTTCTCTAAGTCTAGAGATAGTAATATCGAAACATTCTGCTCACAAAGATTTCTTCTTATTGAGTCGGTTAGGCCTACCAGTAACATCGACGTGCTTCGATGACTACGAAAGCCACATTGGCAATCATCAAGCATATTATTGTTCTCTAAATAATTATCAAGCTGTTTTTTTAAAACGTATTCCACTACTTTTGATAATACAGGAAGCAGAGCTATTGGTCTGTAATTTTCCCCAGTCGAGTCCTTCTTCCTGATTGGGTTAATTTTAGCTATTTTCCACTCTTTTGGAAACGATGAGGTCATGATGATGGTATTTGTGAAATGTAAGAAGTACGAAGAAATGTACGGGAAAATAATTTTAAAAAATTTTAGAGGGAGACCATCAATTCCTGGTGCATTTGATTTGACGGCTGAAAAAGCTAAATAAAGATCGGTGGATGAAATGCATTGAAATGAGAACCCGTCATTAGCAGTTAACATATCTAGGGTATTATCAATGTTAGTATCAACATCTAGCTGATTGCTAACAAAAGAAGTGTTTAAAGAATTGAGATCTTCTATGGTTAGCTGTTTTTCCCTAGTAGAATTTTTATCAATTAAACCATTTTTCCTGATTATACTCCAAAGATTTTTAGAACTAGTGCAGGTATTAAAAAGTGAAGCATGATAAAGCTGCTTGTGTTTCCTCTTAATGGACTTGGCTCGATTTCTTGCTTTGCAGTAAATTTGCCATTTTTGAGTACTTTTATCTAAAAGATAAGAACTATATGCCAAATCTGCAATAGATTGATGGTAACGAATAACGGGGGAATTTATCCATTTGTCTCTATTGAATGATTTTCTGAATATTTTCTTTGGAAATACTGAATGTAGCTGCCAAATTCCATTCATCAGAATGTCTAATTGGGCATCAACATTCGTTGTATTGAACATATTCGAAAGATCCAACGAGGAGGCTACATAGTGCAAATCGCTCTCATTGACATTGTTGTAGTCGACGTATTCATGAGTATATTGTTCTCTGTTGACAGACAAATCCATTGAGATACAGATGAAAGCGTGCTTCGAAATATCTGGACATATAAACTGTCCACTACGTACCATGCGGTTAGGGTTTGAAGTTAAAAAATAGTCTATTAATGAAAATGATTGATGGGATGGATCGAAATGTGTTGGTCGCGAGTTATGCAGAACTGAGAGACCCATTCTCAAGCATGACCGACGTATGTTATGAGCTTTTGTAACATCGAAGAGATTGTTGTTAAAATCACCCATTATAATGATGTTGGAATAACGAACAATTAGATCAGAGATATCGGTCTCGAAGGAATCAAAATCACCTGTAGGCAAATAAGCTATTCCAACCAGGACTTTACTTGTCCCTACCATAATTTCAATAAACAAACTTTCCGCAACACCATAACTTCTGCCTGTATAAACTAATTTAGATGATATAGCATTGGACACAAACAAACCGACTCCACCGCCTCGACGATTGGGTCGATCATTTCTGTATAATGTATATCCGGAAATATTGACAGTATTTAAGTGAGGCTTAAGCCATGTTTCGCTTACTCCGACAATGTCGGAGAGGCTCCCTTCTATAATATTTTGAATTTCTGCTAACTTTGATGAATTTGGAACAATATGGAAGCTTTGGGCGTTAAAATGGCAGATATTTAAATTGGATTTTAATCCGAAAAATTGGGCATGCAAATATCGATTGTCATGAAAAATATCACCTATATTATTGAGATCCATAGTGGGTATTGACAATTGTAATTATATATTATATGATTAACACCAGGAAATATTATAAAAAATAATAATTAAAAGTGAATTAAATGGTAATTATCAACAAATTATAAATTAAGTAGATATAGCCGCACTACTCGGTTCAGAAGTCGAAACATTTCCGCAGCTGACGTCTAGCAAATGAGCGCACTGATTCATATCCAATTCATCCAACATTCCATTTGCTAATGTGACCGATACTTTTGGTTTATCACCATTTATTAGTTTGAATAATGATAGGGCCCCCCGCCTTCTTAACCTACGACATAGGTATAATAGCTTGGATGATGTTTGGGTCAAATGGTCATTAAGATAAACCCTACTATTCACATCTCCACCAACAATATCATTTAATAAAATTTGATTGCTCTTGTGATAGTTTGCCATAATTGTGTCTCGTAGGTAGACTGAGTTCAATTTTACCAGCACAGATTTGCCCTTCGACATGTAGCAAATGTGTTGTATATCGGCAGAAGATACCGTGACGTTGCAAAATGCAAATATTTTTGTTATAGGTTGTCTTAAATCACGAATGCCATCTGGTAAACCGTTGATGACTATGTCAGCCCGGTTGAGTCTTCTCTGCAATATATCATTATGAGTTTGTAGTTCGCTAACATTGTTTTTAAATGTTGTCTCTAGTTGTTTGGTAACAGCTAGACAGCTTAGTATGTCTTCTTCAACTTTTTTAACACGGCTATTAAATTCCCGCTCAAGAGAAGACATTGTATCACAAACGCGTTTTTCCATTTCTTGGACATAGTTGCGAATATCTGACTTAAAGGAATCAAATTCGGATTCAAATGCTGATGCGAAAGCTTTGAATTGACTGCGTAATTCATCTGCAAAGCTGGCACTGTCATTGGCCACAGCGGCATTTGCTGGAGATTTAGTTGCACCATCATCAACAACAACATTATGTTCTGATATTATCTAAAGCAAGGGAATTTCTTAATCATATTTAGCGAAGTTCGGAGTAGAGGCTCTGTACATATTTTCCTGCTTACAAATAACTGAATACTGATGGAAAACTCTAAAACTAAAATGAACAAGCAATGGGGCAGAACGATTTAATTCTAAATACGACAGAGCAGCGTCTAACAGAAATAAAGATTTTTAAATATTGTATCGTAAGGGCACGAAGTTGATCGTATATCAGGAAGCGGTCAACTTGGCCCGACCACTTAAAAGTGCGTCAAGGTCAGAAACTGTGAATGTAAGGGTAATAGTTTTTATCCTCCTCGGTAGAGGTTTAAACTGCCTGTCGTATCGGTTCGCGAGATACCGTTAGAAAGTTTGCTTGTCTATGAATAATAATGGTGGGATATATTTCGGAGAAACGTTTTTAAATGTCTATCGTTATATCGTAAAAAGCCAATGTACGTTCAAGATCTAATTTCGAATTTATTGTCCGTGACTTTATTGGCTTTAGAGCCGCATTGATATCCACATACAGTGGTGGTCACAGAATTAAAACATTTACTGTGGTAAACATTTTTTGATCCGCCTTCGATTCGTTTGAAGTATTTTTGAAAATTTTTTAATTCAGAACACTTCGATATACTGCACTTAAGAGATTTAGTGTGAAAAAAGAAACTTTTTGCATGCAATTTCTCCATAAATAACGGTTTTTATGAAAATACATCGACTTTGAAGTGGCCATATAATTAAAACATTGTGTGGAATTTTTTACTTTACTGCATTTTTTGAAAATATTTTTAGGAAATCTCTTTAATTTAGTTAAATTATGTAAACTAAGCACCGATAAAATCATTTCCAGATAAAAATGTTTTGAAAAAATCTGTAAAATCTATCAAAATTGCCAACAATTTGTACAGTACACCTTACATTCAGAAAATCACTCTTATTATAGAAAATAAATATCCGAATGCACCAGAAATTGCTAGAATTAGTTGAAAACAATAAATGATTCTCAATATAAATAAATATTTGAAATAAAAACTCAAAAAATGGGAATTAACCTAAAGTAACGATGCAATTTCAATAGCCTTTACTGAAGAAGGCCGGAATATTTTTGCAGTATGTGAGAAAAAATCGATTGATATTGGTATTTATTATACCAAATCGACTGTTCGAGTAGTACAGAATATATTTTATCATAAAATATATCTGTCAGAACAGAACGAACAGAGATCAACGCCTAGATTGACGAGTAAAAGTTTCAAGCACACAGCAGCATTTTTGATGTTCAACACAAAACTTCAAATATTTGTCAAACTGTAAAATTTTTACTTCCATGATACTAAAATAGATTAAGTGGAAGTTATTCGATTCAAAAAATATTATTTTGGAAAAATATTGTCATGTTCAATAGATTTAAAGGGTCAAGAGTTGACCATAAAAAATACTGCTATGTGCTTGAAACTTTTACTCGTCAATCTAGGCGTTGATCTCTGTTCGTTCTGTTCTGACAGATAAATTTTATGATAAAATATATTCTGTACTACTCGAACAGTCGATTTGGTATAATAAATACCAATATCAATCGATTTTTTCTCACATACTGCAAAAATATTCCGGCCTTCTTCAGTAAAGGCTATTGAAATTGCATCGTTACTTTAGGTTAATTCCCATTTTTTGAGTTTTTATTTCAAATATTTATTTATTTTGAGAATTATTTATTGTTTTCAACTAATTCTAGCAATTTCTGGTGCATTCGGATATTTATTTTCTATAATAAGGGTGATTTTCTGAATGTAAGGTGTATTGTACAAATGGTTGGCAATTTTTATAGATTTTACAGATTTTTTCAAAAAAATTTGTCTGGAAATGATTTTATCGGTACTTAGTTTTCATAATTTAACTAAATTAAAGAGATTTTCTAAAAATATTTTCAAAAAATGCAGTAAAGTAAAAAATCCCACACAATGTTTTAATTATATGGCCACTTCAAAGTCGATGTATTTTCATAAAAACCGTTATTTATGGAAAAATTGCACGCAGAAAGTTTCTATTTTCACACTAAATCTCTTAAGTGCAGTATATCGAAGTGTTCTGAATTAAAAAATTTTCAAAAATAATTCAAACGAATCGAAGGCGGATCAAAAAATGTTTACCACAGTAAATGTTTTAATTCTGTGACCACCACTGTATATGGTCGCAGATTCCAAACACTTATCCCAAGCTCTTTGGCAAGAACGACTATCTACATGATAGCTAGCATCCATGCAGTGAATATAATCGAATTAGTATATTTAAGATAACGCTAATAATTCAATTAATAGATTGTTCAACATTTAATACCACATTTCTTCTACTTAGGAAATAACACGATATTTTGTGTGGAAAAAAGGTTGTAGTTTTTAAAATTTCAGTATTATATTAGGATTGTACGATAATTTTTCCAGTAAAAATTACTCAGTAACTTATGTTGAAAGAACTTGCTAGCTCATGTGAAATTATTGAAAAATCTTTGTTATTTGAATTTTGCGTGTGAGGGCAGTGATCATTTGAATGATTAATTATCCATCGCTACAACAAAAAACTGATTTGAAAAACGACTGTTTTTAGAATAAAGACAAATGTCGCACCTTGACGAATTTGAATTTAATTCGCATATGCAAGTTCGCATCAGGGCGAAATAAATACAAGTTATCGACATACGACCTTTGTAAAGTCACATAGCCCAATATGCCTGATGAGCCGCTTCACCAACGGCCACTTAACCACTCATTTACTGAAATTTTAAGTTATCAAAAAAATTCAGTAACTATTTGTACAAATTGTTACAAATTATTGGACTGGATTGAATTATTGTCAAATAAACCTATTAATATAAAATATTGATTTAAACGTATTAGGCTTTGTTCCTTGCATATGTCATGCACATGTCATATTTGACATATCTCCAATACTTTGGTCCATGTAAATGTATTTCTGCCGGTCGTCACTGTTTCTCATATTTGACATATCGCCGAGCCAATCTTGTCAATCTGTTTGTTTTGGCAAAATATTTTTGACATATCAAAATACAACAACCGATGTTTGTTGTAGAAATTCGCCGATGCGGCTACCTTGTATATCTACCTTGTTATCATCATTTTGTGTACTCGTTCATCGTTCGTGTGAAACAGAAACGACAGAAACGAGTTTATTTTCGAAGGGGAGACGCAAAAAACGTGAGGAGATTAAATATAAAATAGATTATAAAATTTTCCTAATCGAAGAACAATTTGATGTGAATAATTAATAAAATATATAAATTGTTTGCAAACTTATAACATATAATACAAATATACTTTTACGCAATTTTGCTAAGAACAAAAAAAGAATATACGTTGTGCTGTGTAAGAATCCAACCGAAAAAGAAAGAAGAGCAAAGAAGAAGAAAAACAAAGAAACAACAACGCACAAGAGAAAAAAAATTTCAAGTAAATAAGTTCTATACAAAAGAAAATAGAATTAGAATAATAAAGTGGCCATATAAATAATACATATATATAATATACATAACAAAGAATAATAAATAAATATCCAAAAAAACAAGAGATTATCGTTGCTGTGTGTGTGCGTGCGTGAGAGAGTCAATCGTCCAGTGTTTGTTTTTTTACTGTTTACTCGCCGCTGCTGCTCGCCCCTTTTAGTTCTTTTGAGAAAGAAGATGTTGTCGTGCAAATGTTTAAATTTTATTGCAGCCACTGCCAATAACCAACAACAGCAAGGAGCACCTCCTGCCTATTCGTTGACCGATGCTTTTCGACAGGCTTTCCTGCAGAAATTTCCACGAAATTTCATTTTCTATTCACAATGCATGGATTTTTTTAAACAGGTAATTATTGATGATGATTAATTTTGTTTATTATTTTTTGGTGGATTTATTTAAGGAGTAATTGAGAGTGGTATATGGAGATGGAATGAATACATATACCTGTTGCAATAATTATTGCAATGTGCCATTGCAAGAATATCGACGAACTAGACTAGGCTGGAAAGAGTCGTCAAGCTAGCAAAGAAATAGGAATTTTAATTGATGATTTGGAACAAGTTAAGCTCAGGGTCGGGTTACGAAAATCAGGAAAAGAGTAACAAGAGGTACTCGAGACTAGACAAGGTACAAAGAGCCGTCTCGATTCTAATAATTGAAGCCGCGAGAAACACTCTGGGTCTCAGAATTAAGTGTCAGGCCGCGGGTAGTGTCATAAGGCTACATGAACAAAATCTATGGCTATATCTTGAACGAACTAGGTATGACATTGGACCAACGCGTAAATCTAAGCGACTATATATCACCAGTCCTGAGATTTGACGATATAGCTTATCTACAAGCTGGATAGCAACTGTAGTATTTTCAAAGCTGAAATCTTCGCTATTTGGAAGGCAGCGGAATTGATAAAAAGTCGTGATGCAGATATCGAACTATCTTGAATCGGTGACTATCTTTGTGGATAGTCAGGTGGCTCTTAAAGCCATCAAATCCTGTAATATCAAATCTATATATAGACTATATATCACCAGTTCTGAGATTTGACGATATAGATGTCGTTATCCCTAGTAGAGACGACTGGGACCGTACCAACCCTCCTCTGGACGGCGTGGCTTTCTATACAAACAGATCCAAGATGGAAGAAGGTACAGGGGCTGGTGTCTACTGTGAAAGGCTAGGCCTTGAGCTTATCAACAAGCTGGATAGCAACTGTAGTGTTTTCCAAGCTGAAATCTTCGCTATTTGGAAGGCAGCGGAATTGATAAAAAGCCGGTGACTATCATTGTGGATAGTCAGGCGGCTCTTAAAGCCATCAAATCCTGTTCTCTTTCGGAATTTTGATGTGTTCTTCGACGAACGAGTCAATGAACACTGGCACAGCGACACTAGGTGCAAATGGACACACTCTGTCTACCAAAAGGACATACTCACTGTTGAACCTGAGCAAAGCTGAAATTAGAGTAATAACAGGAGTCATTACTGGTCATTGCAATATCGAGGACCTTTACCAGTAAAAGGGACCATGATGTTACTGATTACTGCAGACTCTGTGCTGAGGAGGAGGACCCGGAGATAGCTGAGCATCTCCTGTGTCGCTGTCCAGTTTTTTAGGCACAGACTAGCGGGTGCTTACTTTCCACTGTCTCTAAGTTTCTTCTCAACTATAGAACCTGCTTTAATCTACAACATCATTAAAAAACCTAAAGTGGTTGTGTCCAATTTCTTTAGCCATCGAAACTATTCTCACCTTCCTCCTAAAAATAATGGCTTCTTTTCTTTTTGACTAAATAAGCTATTCTCCATTAATTCGAAAGGGTGAAATAATAAAACAATTAACAAAAAAATTGTGAAACTAGGCTACAAGCTTCTTCGAATAGTGTTGATATCTACGGAAATATACATATAAAGGAACAATGTATGTCTCTAAACATGAACTAGAATATACACATATTAAAAAAATGAAACGTGCTTAATTTTAATTATTAATCTCATGTTTTTATTTTTCGATTTTCGCCAAACCAATTTTTTGTTGTTGATATATTCTGAGTAGTTTTTTTTTTGTTATTGGTCGTTTTTTTCATATGGATGGATGGTTGGATGTGAAAACAATTCTTTATACAAACATATCTATTTCTATTAGTCCACACACCACACTTCATATATAGATTCGTACATGTGTATATATATGGGCGGCGAGTATTCTAGCGACATATGGATGGTGGGGTCGGTCTGCTGCTGCTGCTACAAACTCTTGTTTACGTTTTATTTATTTATTTTTTGTTTTTCACTTTACTCATTCTCGTTGTTTTGTCTGTAGTTTTTTTATATTTGCTGAACATTTGGCTTATTTGTACACACGTCTCGCCGTATTATTGTTTTTTACCTTTTCTATTGTTGTTGCATATAGTTTTTTTATTTTTTTTTCATATTGGGTATAGATTTACATATATATATATATATATAAATGTACATATGTTGTAAGCCCTTGTCTTGACCCAAGGAAATAATATTTTCCTACCTGTTGTTAGTTCTAAATAAGTGCAAATTCATGATAATGTATTTCGAAAATCGAAATCTCGTCCTAAGGCCTAATGTTTTTTTCGATTTTTCCTTTCATTTTCATCTATCCTAACATGACACCGATTTTATTTTACACTAAATTATTTGACTTACGATGTATATATATATATACTATATTATAATATAAAAATACACATTTATTTATTTTTTCACACTTCTTTGTGTTTATCTTTCTAAATAAACAACATCATCATCTTTGAAAAAAAAACAGTTTTATTTTGGTAATTTGTTAATTTTTGCCTTTGCATTCCTATTTGTTTACAAAAACAATTCGATCATAGAAACTAAAATGACGATAACAACAATTTACCATTCGCAGTCAATTAGTTGTGTCGCAAATAAATTGGTCCAACATGCTGCTCTTTATGTATTATAGGATTGTTAAGAAATTTGGTAAATATTTATTAAAAACTATAGCATATGCCAGATACTTCGGGAAAGGAAGAATAAGAAACTAAAAAAAAGTATTAAGGAGGAAGTAGTTAATAGTGTCGATGGCTACAGAAATTGGACGGAAATATATATTACGTGCTAATGTTGCTCTTTTCTAACCAATTTAGGATTCTAATGTGGATGTTGTGGATTAAAGTAGGTCCCATAGTTGAAAAACAGCTTAGAGACGGTGGAAAGTGAGCACCCCCTAGTCTGTGCCGTCTGTAGGCCAGAACTGAACATCGACACAGGAGATGTTCAATTGTCTCCGTCTCCTCCTCGTCAACGCAGAGTCTGCAGTAATCAGTAACATCTTGGTCCCATTTACTGGTAAAGGTCCTGATATTGCAATGACCAGTAATGAATCCTCTCATTACTCTTATTTCAGCTTTGCTCAGGTTCAACAGTGAGTTTGTCCTCTTGGTAGACAGAGTCGGCCAAATAGATCTTGACACATTGTACCTAGGTTCGTTTTGTCAAAGTTCCTAGGCTCTTTCGTCGAAGAAGTTCAAAGTTTCGAAAAATATTATCGATTGCTAGATATGTAGATTGAAATGCCCTAATTGTCTAATTCTAGATAATTCGTCTGTTTTTCATTACCCATGACATCACGGTGTCCTGGTACCCAACACAGCCGATAGCTGTAAGTGAGTGTTTCCAAAACTGCTCTACACTCGAGGTCGACCTCAGATTTGATACTACAGGATTTGATGGCTTTAAGAGTTGCCTGGCTCTCCACAAAGATAGTCACCGGTTCAACGATCTTTGCATCCAGACTTTTTATCAATTCCGCTGCCTTCCAAATAGCGAAGATTTCAGCTTGGAAAACACTACAGTTGCTATCCAGCTTCTAGATAAGCTCAAGGCCTAGCCTTTCACAGTAGACGCCAGCCCCTGTTCCTTCTTCCATCTTGGATCCGTCTGTGTAGAAAGCCAGACCGTCCAGAGGAGGGTTGCTACGGTTCCAGTCCGGTTTCTACTAGGGATAACAATACAACCATGCCCAAAGGTACAACATCGCCAGAGGTTTTGTTCACGCAGCCTTAGGGCGCTACGTGCGGCCTGACACTTAATGCTGAGGCACAGAGGCTTTATGTTCAGCATTGCATTCAGAGCTGCTTGTGTGTGGAGTGCTTCTCGCGGCTCCAGTTATTAGAATCGAGGCAGCTCTTTGCACCTTGCCTAGTTTGCTGCATGTCGACTTGTGGCGCTAGCAGTGTCACCAAACAAGAGCACCATAGGAAAGGATGGGCCTCATCACTGTGTTATACAACCAGTGTATAGTCGATCGTTTTAGCCCCAACTTTTTCATATGGAGAGGGAAATCAGTCCTCTCTTCGCCTGTTCCTCGGCGTTCTTATTCCATCGTAATTGACCATTGTGCCAAGGTATTTTGCTTGGGGCGACAGATGAAGCTGCACTCCATCCAGTGTTGGTGGAGCAAAGACGCCTAGCTTACGTTTCCTAGTGAACATTACCGGTTCCGTCTTTGTCGGGTTTACATCAAGGCCGTTCGCTTTGGTCCAGCGTGACAGCGACAGTAAGGCTCTTTGCATAAGCTCCGAATAAGGGGGACCCGCCATAATTCCGACTTTTGATCCCGTTTTTCAAACGAATTGGTAATAGTTTTTTTATTGAGTGTTACATCTTTCTACAAAAATTTACCACATACAAGTTCTGATCGATATAGATATCTCCACCATGGTGGTGGAGTATATAAAAATTTCGACCCGGTCGATCTTAAAAACGCTTCTACCTCTTTTGACTGATATTTGACTAAAACATTTCTCAATTGTTTTTCTCATTTCAGGCCATTGGTCCAGTTTCAGACCTGACCATTAATTCCATCAGTCAAAGAGATTTAATCTACAGTCTTACATTGGATATTTCCGAATCCGATAATATACCACAAACATGGCAGCTTAGCATCTGTAGTAATTGTAATGTTGTTCTATGTGCTAAACGTATTTCGGATGCGTCCAATTCACAACAGCAACAACAACAACAGAATACACCCGTATACCTCATCAATTGTGGTCTACTTACCAACAATGAGGAATTATCGCAGAAACGTGCCGACAAATCATTTTCCGATACATTTGGTATTCTAATAATGGATCATACCAAATCTGAAGTTCCTTCCCAAAGTCAACAACAACAGCACAGCAATGCGCTTACAATTGGTTCCCTCTCAACCTCGTTTGTAACTGGCAGTAGCTTAGCGAATCATTTGGTGGACTCGAAGCAGTTACGTTTAAGGCAAATACAGGCTAATTTGCAACAGCGGCTGCAACGAGAAATTGCCGAAACCGATGAGCGTATTCAACGCTATACCGAACAACAATTTGCTTTGTTGAAAAGTTTCCGTGAGAAATCGGAACAGGAATATCAAATGTTGGTATCGTTAATACAATGTATCCCCGAACAACAGGCAAATGAGTGGTTAGATCGTCAACCACCAAGTCTGGAGGTTAGTAACAATGGTGGCGCTGGCAATTTACCCTACGGTAATTCACGCCGGCGTAACACCATTTCGAGTCGAAAAGACCTGAATAGTACGGCTCCATCGACACCTACAACTACCCAAGCACCAACAAATATATTCCAGTTGAACAAAGAAAATGTTTACAAGTCTGTTAACTCGGAAAGTGTTCCGAGCACACCAACAAGTGCCATACCAACGACTACCACAAAAACGGGTCGATCATCAATTACAGAGATTAGTGCAAATACAGGCTCAACAGTAGTTCCTTCAACGGCAGCCGCAGCAGCAGCATCTTCATCTACGTCAACAACTGTGGTTGGCGGTTCGCAACAACAACCACAACGTAAGATGTCTAATTTTGATACACCTCCCGCTACCCCAGAAGCAACGCCCATGAGTGTGGGCAATAGTCCCACATTCCGACAACAACAGCAGCAGCAGAATACCTCATTTATAGGTCAGCAATCGTTTCAACAGCAATTTCCCACACCAACTGTGGAAACGGCCGACGATTGCCTATTTGAATTGGAAGGTGTTGATGCAGCAGCGACAACAACACATCCATCGTTATTTTTACAAAACCCGCCTTCCCCATTACGTCAGCAGCAACAACAAAATGTGCCACAACAAATACTGCCAGTCTTTAGTAGCTATCAACAACGCACCTTAAATTATAGCCAACAACAACACATGGAAAATCATATGAGTGATTTGGATGAAAGTGATGGTGCTGAGGAAGCTGAAGGTAAGTTGTGGAAAATTGAAACTTAGTGAACAAATGATCTAGCATCATTACGAAATTCTGTTCAAAAAACATATAATAAAGCTAGCAGGTTACGTTTACGTTTAGGGAAGTGCGCCACATAAGTGGCTGCAGCACTCTGAGACCGTCAGGTCCATTGTGATCATCCACGAAAAGAAAGAGATAAGGAGAGATCTATAGGGAAGAGAAGAAGTGGGGATAGAGAGAGATGAGAGGCTTATAAGAAAATGTAAGAAGGTAGGTTTGAAGTAGTATCGATGGCTATAGAAGATATATTACGGACAGAAGATATATTACGTGTCAAGGTTGCACTTTCCCAATCACTTTAGGTTTCTAATTATGCTGTAGATTAGAGTAGGTTCAGATGTCCAGAAGAAACTAAGACTCGGTGGAAAGTGATCACCCACTAGTCTGTGCCGCCTGTAAGCCAGGAATGGACAGTGACACAGGAGATGCTCAATTGTCTCTGTCTCCTCCTCGTCAACGCAGAGTCTACAGTAATCAATTGCATCGTGGTCCCATTTACTAGTAAAGGCTCTGATATTGCAATGACCACTAATGATTCCTGTCATTACTCTTATTTCAGCTTTGATCAGATTCAACAGTGAGTGAGTCCATTGGTAGACAGAGTCGGCCAAATAGATCTTGACACATTGTACCTAGGTTCGTTGTGTCAAAGTTCATAGGCTCATTCGTCGAAGAACGCCTCAAAGTTCCGAAAAAGATGACATATGGGTGGTTTGATAAAGCCATCAATTGGATTGAGGTCCTCGTCTACCTAATTCGTCTGCTGTTTCATTACCCGTGATGTCACGGTGTCCTGGTACCCAACACAGCCGATAGCTGTAAGTAAGTTCTTCCAAAGCTGTTCTACACTTGAGGACGGCCTCAGATTTGATGTAACAAGATTTTATGGCTTTAAGAGCCGCTTGACTATCCACGAAGATAGTCACCGGTTCATCGTCCTCTGCATCCAGACTTTTTATCAATTCCGCTGCCTTCCAAATCGCAAAGATTTCAGCTTGGAAAACACGACTCAAGACCTAGCCTTTCACAGTGGACGAAAGCCCCTGTACCTTCATGCAGCCTTAGGGCGCTACGTGTGGCCTGACATTTAATGCAGAGGCCCAGAGGTTTTAAGTTCAACATTGCGAGTAATGTGTTTTTTTTGGTGTACAGAGTGCCTTTTCTGTTCAACTTTGCCTCCCGTATGACCTTCTCCAACAGGATGTTAAAAAGATCACACGACAAACCTTCATCTTATCTAAAACCTCGTTCGGTATTGCGATGAGAGGAGACTAATTCCTCTATTGTTGGCTAGAGGAATGCATGTCATTGGTCATGCATTCCTCTAGCCAAATTGTACTAATCAGTTGGTGCATGCTCTGATCAACGTTTGACCACCGGTTTTGAATAGTTCGGCTGGCACCTGCTGCTTTATTTTTCTTCAGCCGATTAATTGCTACGTCATCTATTATTGATTATGGGGTATCCTCTTCACCGCTACTATTTGATACTAGAAAATTTTCAAAATGCTCCTTCTACATCCTCAGCACGTATCTGTCACCAGGTTTCCATCTTCATCTCTACAGGAGGATATACCTGCATCAAAGCCTTCGGTTTGGTGTTTTACTCGTTGGTAAAATTTCTGGACTTCATTCTGACTTCTGTATATCTCGATTTGCTCACGCTCACGTTTTTCTTGTCCATTCTTCTTTTTTCTGAAAATACGTTTCTCCTCTCTCGTTTTCTTCCGATAATTCTCCAACGTATTACGTTTTGCTACTGTCTGCAGAGTCGCCCTATACGCTGCGTTTTTCACATCAGTAGCATTACGACATTCCTGATGGTACAATGGGCTTCGTGATGGGGGTTTTTGGCACCCAAGTGTTGCTTTGCTGCAGTTTGTCAGGAGTGGGTAATTCTTTGCCATTGTGCTTCTATATTATTATCGGGACAAGGGGTGCTTTCGTCAAGCAGTTGGGTAAGTTGAGCGGAGTAGGCTTCTGCTATCTGTTGTGTTTGCAGCTTTTCGACGTCGGGTTTCCGTGTTACATTAGATCGCAACTTTGCTTGGAAGTGAAATGATTTTCATCTCTCTCTCTTATTGTGTGCCACCAGCGAAGACGTTCTCTTGTGAGAGAATTCAGACCAGATCGATTTTGAAATTCTGAACCAGGTTCTCTCCAACCATCCGTTGCCGACTACCTCGCAGGAGAACAAGCGGATTTTGCCAATGAAATATCCAATGGGAGGTTTCACAGATCTCTCAATGGGAAGATTGGACGACTGTGAGCCCCCTCGAAAAGCCTCGTCAATGTCAGTATGTCCTGGAACCCAATATAAGTTAACTGTCTATCGTATATCATTCAGAGTGGAATTGCAATCATGAACTGCTTTTGAGTTTATAGTACGCGACTTCACCGCTTTAAGGGCCGCCTGAATATCGACATACATAGTCACCGGTCCCGTAATGTCGGCAGTAAGTGATTTAACTATCTCGGCCGCTTTCGTGATTGCAAGGATTTCAGCTTGAAAGCCGCTACAGGATTCCCTACTAGGAAACTCTACTTTGATGTCACTAAAGTCTCTGTGAGAGGTAACATAGTCACTAATATTGTTTAGAATGCTAGCATGACCATAGTTCAGCGATTTCCAGGCATCCGTTTCCCGGAGCCTCAGGGCACACCTGGCCGCCTGGAATTTAATCAAAATGTCCAGTGGTTGGAGATTCAGGATTGCATTCAAAGCTGCCTGTGGTGTACTTCTTAACGCTCCGGTGATCAGAATTGAAGCCGATCGCTGTACTAAACTTAATTTTGCCAGCAGCATCTTTTTGTTGACCCCCTGCCACCATATCTAAGAATGGGGACAACAATCGTCATATACAGCCAGTGTATGATCTCGGGTCGTAATCCCCAGCTCTTGCCTATAGTCCTTTCTTAGAGTGTTCCTCAACATTCCTATTCCACGTTAATTTGCGGTCAAGGATAGTGCCAAGGTATTTTGATTCTTCAGAAAGGGTTAGGGTCATTCCTCCCAGTGATGACAGGCGGAAACTAGGAATCTTACATTTCCTAGTGAAGAGCACCAATTCTGTCTTAGTGGGGTTTACACCAAGACCTTTGGCGTATGCCTAGTTAGACAGGGTTGAAAAGGCACCCTCCAGAATATCTGGAATTGCCATTAGAAACTTACTCCAACCAGCAGGACTACATTATCGGCATACGCTACGACCTTTATCCTAAGACGGATTTTGGTTTTCTTTCCCGATTCTTTTACATAGTAAGAAGGGTTTTCCGAGTGTGGGCAACTAACTTGACACTGAACCTGGGACACATCAGCTAGGGTGATGAAACTAACTACCCCAGATGACACCGCGGGGGAGGTCAGTATCCACAATTGTGATGAAAGAGGACCAAGATAAGCCTGTGCTTTGCCATGTTAAAGTCAATCAGAGCCGTTTCTTGGTAACTAACGGAAAGATTCAGCTTAGACATGTTTTTATATTGTTAATACTATTTATTGGCCTTGAAGGATTTAATATTATTCAATGAAATAAATAAATAATAAAACCGGTTTTCATATCTAACAGTCATATTATTAGGCAGCTAATAAACAAACGCGCTAAATTTATTGAACCGGACTATTATTGATTTTGTTATCTCAATATACGGTTCAAAATTTTCCATACAAATCTCCCGATCCCCGGTCAACCGTATTCACCTTTTTTACTTGTAAAAAATATGCATTTATTTTCACTTCAGTCACTTCTATTTATCAAAAGCTAATATGTGTGTGCCCGACGACCTCATTACAATATTCCCATATACTAAATACATATATGTATACATATATATGATTTGTTGCTATGCTTACTTTTGTTTTTAGATGCATTGGATTTAGATAGCTCGATGCCAATATCAATGGCCACCCCACAAAGACGCAATCATACAACAAATAGTGCAGCCGCAGCAGCAGCTGATATGAGTAATTTTGCCAAAAGTCTACCAATTGAGATTGCAAATTCGCCACTAGTAAAGGGTCGTAGCTATATACCATTGGACTCGGAAGATGATGTAGGTGTTTAATTTGAATTTTATAGAGTTTTTATAATGATTTTATTTTTTGTAATTTACAGGAACTGGACAATAATGTCGATATTGCAGCCAGCATTAAGGCTTTAGCTAAAAGTGTTCATGGCGAGGCGGTATTTGGCGATTTGCCAAGACCGCGTCTACGCTCACAAATTTAATTTTTTTTTTGATTTGCAGTTGTTCAACCAAAAAAAAGGAAATGAGATCTTTTTTTTTCAGTTTAGTTTTATGTTATAATTCTCCTTCTATATACTAAAAATATTTTTTTTCTTTTCTTTTACATTGACGAAATTTATTTTGAGCAAACAAAAACACATTAGTTATTAAGTTAAAACGTATCTTTATATATTTTTTTATTAAAGAAAATAGTTTTTTTTTCCTCTTTATTTGTATAAGTATAATTATATATGTATGTGAGTACCTTTTTTCTTTTTTTATTTGTTTTCAAAAAATATACACTAATCAATAGTTTTTTTTTTCTAAAATAATTAAAAAATACAAATCGAAAAAGATATTGGTAAATATTAATTTTATGATGACCCACATAGTATATATATGTATGTAATATAATCGAAATAATAATGATGACGCTATATATATAATTATTCTTATTATCCATATTATCTCGAAAATGAGTTTCGTTATTTTTGTATCCGGTTTTTTCTTCTACATACATATGAGAATGGTAAAATAACACCTCAAGAAAAAAATGTATTGGTGTTTTTTTCGTTAACAAATAATAAATATAAATTATAATTACACATCCATACATATTTACATTAAAGAATATATGCATATATATATATACGAAATGTATACATTCATCATGTGTTGTTGTTATATATAAAGCATAAATAAATAATTAATATGTGAATGTGTGCATTGTGTGCAATTGCAATGACATTTATTTTTTTAGTTTGGAATATAAATATTTTTTGTTGTGCCAAAAATTCTAAATTTTCTACAGAGAACAGTATGTTAGAGGTTAGGGTATATGATGTTCAGGCACCAATCAGATCAGAAGATTTTTTTATTCTCAGCCTTTGACTAATGGGGGTATATACATCCTTTACTTGAAAAGAGAACTTCCAAACTGTTTATGTCTTCTGCCGATCAGCGATGAAGATATACAGAGGATTTGTTTAATTGTTTCTAGCTCTTCTTCGTCCTCACATAGACGCCAGTAATCGTCTCCGTCGGAGTCCCATTTCGAAGTGAGAGATCTAATATTGCAGTGACCTGTTATGATCTCCACAATAATTATGATCATCTTATCGAAATATTGATAAGGGTCTAACCCATGTTTATTTGAACCATATCCGTTGTAGGTAATTTGAAGAGATTTACAAAATTGTCAAAATTTCCCGGAAAACTTATTTTGTAATAGCATGCGAACGCACTAGCCGATTTGAATCAAACTGTGTACAGCCTAATATTTTTACCAAGCCCGTTTTTTTTTTTTTTTTTTTTTTTTTTGAAAGGTGGAACTCATTGGTACATTGCTTCTAGGACCTCCCCCACAAAATTGTTGAAAATTTTGAATTTGAAAATTTTTTAATCCAATGTAAAGTGAATGGAATATGCGATTTGATCCTAACATTGCACATTATAATATTTTTACCATGGCTAGATCAAGTCCGAAGATTGGATCCATCGGTCCTCTCCTTCTTCCGATTTGATCCAAATTTTGCAAATCGAAATTATTTTACAAACCCTAAATCATGTCCGAAGATGGGAACTGTGCACAACCTAATATTTTTACCAAGCCCGTTTATTGTTGGAAAGGAGGGGGACTTATCGGTCCGTTGATTCTAGTACCTCCCCCACAAAAATTTTTAAACCAATATCTAGAGAATTGGAATATGCGATTTGATCTTAAATTTGCACATCATAATATTTTTACGTTGGCTAGATCCGAAGATGGGGCCCATCGGTCCTCTCCTTCTGTTACCACCCCCCACAAAGTTTCAACATTTTATTCACAATCAAACGAATTGAATGTCCGATTTCCGAACGAATGGAATATTAGTTTTGATCCAAACTTAACAAATCGTATTAATTTTACCAAACCACGATCGTGTACGAAAATGGGGCCCACCTCGATCGTGTACCACTCTATGTGGTACCTTCCCCACAAAGGGTCAACATTTTGAAAATTTGTTAATCCAATATCAAACGAATGGAATGTCCGATTTGATCCAAATTTTGTAAAACGTAATATTTTTAATTTGGCTAGATCAAGTGCGAAGATGGGATCCATCGGTCCACAATTTCTGGTACCTCCCCCACAAAATATCAAAATTTTAAAAAAATTAGTTAATCAAATATCAAGCGAATGGAATATCGGATATGATTCAAACTTTGCACATCATAATATGTATACCTTAGCTAGATCATGTCCGAAGATGGCACCCATCGATCCAATCCTTCTGCAAATTCCCCCACAAAGTGACAACATTTTGAAAATTTGTTATAGTGCGTTTAAATTAGACTGGATTTCGTTAACCCAGTGGGTTTAAATTTCCAATTCCTTTCAATATATGTCAAATAAATCCTCATAATGTAGGTTAACCCGTTAAAAATTTCTAATGTAAATGCCGTTTTAGCCTCTTCAAATACTTGATGATCAAAAAAAAAAAACATATACCTTGTATAAAGCGAATAATAAAACCAGTGTGTAGTAATTCCGTAGATCTTCGCAAACCATAGTTTGGGGGTATACATCATATGTCGGCAACACCGACTGACACTTTTTTACTTGTTTTTTTTTTATTATCAGTCTCTCATTCTCCTCGGTTTAGAGATAATGATGATTGGTTGGAGATAATGAACAATTGTTTGTTGTACACACCGTAAATATCCGGACAACATGGAAAGAGTGAGTGAAAGATAATAGGTTAATCCGTTTATAGTTTTGTTTTTATCGGCTTCTTATCCTCCTTTGCACAAATTTGTTGGGCCAGGGGATTAGCTAGAGTCTGACCTTGTTAAGTTCGAGACTGAGGGAGCTTGGCAGCCACACCAGCATCAGTCGAAAAATCGCATACCATGTTGTTTTTGTTTTTAGAGAGGGGTTATTAAAATTCGGCTCCATAGAAAGTGCTTTAAGTGAGGGATTGAGGTCAACCATGGCAAAGCCTCCTACCATGGCAAGGACTTGACAACTAAGCCTGAATAAACTTGTTGAGCCGCCCAACAAAGCTCCTGTGGACGCGTCCGTCCCCGAAGGCGGAAAGACATTCATAGGTGGGTTTAGAATAAGCAGAACCACCTTTGCAGATTTCCGGCAATTTTATTTTCTATTTCACAGTGTTTTTAAATTGTAATTATTTTTTTCTCTAATTTCATATATTTACTGCGGTTTTTAGTTTATTTAATAAAGGAAGCCGTCCAAATAATTTTTAATACACCAAAAGAATACTTAAATGTATACATAAAAAAATATTTTTTTAAGAAATAATTATAAAAAATATATAATGTCATTGCACTTTGCAGTGTGTGCCCATTGAACATAAAGTATTTGAAAAGAAAAAGAAATATATATATATATAAACAAATAATTTATGTTTAATAATAAATAGAATACACACATCTCTAATGATTTATTTATTCATAAAAAAACGAAAAATACTATAACAATGTTATCAAACATATTGAGAAATATATCTGAGCTAATATTTCTGTTTTTTATTTGAGAAAATCATATTTTTTTGTCATATATTTTTAAATACAAACGGACGGACTCAACAATGTTAAGTTTAATAAAAAACAAAGTGTTTTGTAATTGGTCTTCTCTTCTCCTACGCTATTGATATAATTTAATAAAAATTAGCTAACAAACTGTATACTATACACATATATAAATTATAATAATGACTTATGGATATCATTAAAAGTTAAAGTTTTTTTAGTTGATTTCTATTCAAATGTATTAAAAAAAAAATATTGAAAAAAAGAAACGAAATAATGCGTTAAAATATCATTTTGTGGCAAATAAAAAAATATATACTAAAATAATTTTTATATTAAAAAAAATAAAATGTTGGTTTTAATTCTGCATGAAAATTTGAAAATATAGATTTAGGGTAAAAATTCTTTAATTAACTGCTCGCTTGCTCCTGTTCTGCGAAGATGTATGCTCAATGAATTGACGGCAGAACTGCAATACACATTTTTTGGCATCAGAATGTTGGATGTTATTTAAGGAAATAGCAGGAAAATTTTTATTTCTTTTGGAACCAGATAGTCTCTTATTTGTAGACCATAGCTGCTTAGAGTTTATATTGCAGTGATTAAGGTGTTCTAACCATTTAGATCGTCTGTGCTCAAGGACTAGAGCATTTATTTCAGCGCTAAGCTACGGAATTCTGTCGTCAGCGGGGCTTTCGGCACGGAGTTCGTCACGTTGCTGTGCCAATCTGGATGCCCTGGATGGATAATTTGGTCTCATGAAGCGTTTTGCCGCTTTTAGAATAGTTTCTCGGAAAACCTTCTCACCATTACTGGAAATACGGGTGGTGGCATAGGACTTAAGGAGTCCTCAATGAATTTTGTGAATTTCGGAATCGTCTATCTGGTTTGCAATAAGAATACCGCGATTATCATTAGGTTGAGAATACCATTTCACATGATGAACGTTGAAATCGCCAAGAACAACAAAATAGTACACAAATTAAGGCATTCTCTTTATTTTTATTTACATATTTCGTTTAATAATAAATATACATATTTATATAGTATTGAAATTTCGAAACAGTGTATAAGATCATTTTTTGGATTATCCTTCGGTTAAAACAAATCATTCCAATCTATAAAATTCCAGAAGTTGTGAAAGTAGGTGTGATAAAACGCCAACATATCGCCGGATTATTATTTCCATCAACCTCAATCAACCCAATCGGTATCATTCGAATCGTCATCTTCTTCCGATGCATTTTTAGTCCTTCCCACTGGTGGTGGTGGTATGAGAGACGAAAGTCGAGAAATTACCGGATTTCCCGAAATACTGCTGGATGCTGCTGCATTATCTGTTGTATTATCTTTAGTGCCGGATATACCTTTACGTCGCATCATTAGTTTATTATGTAAATCGGCCATTAGATCCCCACCAAGTGGTTTTATGTTGGTTTTCCGGTTTTCATTATTTTCCGCAGAATTTTGATTATCGACAAAGTTGTTGTTGTTCTGATTGTTGCTTAATGGTGCTGCTGCCCGTTTTAGTGGAGCTTTACCTAAACCACCAGCTTTGCGGATGGCTGCCATTAGTTCAGATCGGGTATCCGATGATGCTGGGAGTTTTGGTAATTGAGCCGGAGCAGCAGATGCTGATGGTGGTGGAGGAGGTGGTGGTGTATTGGAGTTTGCAGCAATTGGTGGGGGCGGAGGAGGAGGTGGTGGAGGTGTAGCTGTTTGTGAAATGGTTTCTTGGGCAGGTCCGTGAGATAACGCCTTCTTGGTTGAGTTTTCATCAGCTTTATCTTTAGAGCTATCCTTTATTAAATCATCCAAATCGGGTAGAGTTTCTACCACCATTTCCAAAGAGGGGGCTATTTTTTGTTTGGCTTCCTGGCTCTCATAACGCAAATCATCAGCAATACCCGGTAGATCAGGCAGATCCCAAGGCAAATCTAGCTCTGGAGCTTCACTCAACTTGGGTGTATATTTCAGACCACCAGATGGTGTTAGTTTCTCATTTCGATGGGCCAATGAATGTGGAGCAGGATCTGGAATTTGTTTTGCCGTTGTCCCTTGTGCACTGCTGTTCGCCGCCTTTTGATTACGTTTATTTTTAAACAACCTGGCCCGCTTCCAATTATCACTTTCATCGGCATCACCTTCCGTCAGATTATATGGGGAATAATCGCTGTTAAACAACAGCACCGAAGATACCGATTTCAATTCATTTGGCATTGTACCCAAATCTTGTGTTTGTCTTATCTTCAATCTCTCCCTGGTCAGACTGTTATCTGGAACATTTTTCGGATTTTCTCGTACGTGGAAAAATACTAATTTTTCATTTGTATTTGGCAAACTTGAATCAATTTTGGATTTTACTTCATAGCTAGAGGTGTGTTGTTCATCGAAATTATTGTCGTTTGGTTCCTTCGTAAAAGTTACCGGAATTTTTTCAAAAATATGAGTGGCCGGAAATCGTGCTGGCGCATAAATATGTATTGCCTTGCGAGTATTTTGTAAATTTTTAATTTTTTCCTGGGATTTTTTAATACGATTTTGTAATTCCTCCACCTTGGTGTTATTTTTTTCTAATCGATTGTCAATTCGTAGAAATATATTATTGATAACTTTTTGAAGGCTATCCAAGGCATATGCGGCCTGGATAATGGTCTCCTCATGACGTAAATCTGGTGGAACAATTGGTACGGAAAACATTTTATGGGAATTGGAATTATTTCCGGCTTGCTATTTATTAACAATTAAAAAAAAACAAATAAATTAATCACCAAAACAATGGTTTCCCAAGCCGTCTAATGATACTCTTTAACGCCGTTATTATTAATATCTCTCTCTACAGTAGTTAGAGAGTAGCGTCACGTTTGTGAAATGCAATGCTTATTATTTGTATTATTTATGTGAATTGATATAAATAATGGTTCATAAAAACAATTATATATGTATATTTATGTATTTCCGTTACACGGCACGTTATACGTCAACTTTCATTGCTACCGTTTTTTAAATGATATAATAATAAATGATTAAATAATATTTATTATTATATCATTTAAAAAACGGTAGCGATGAAAGTTGACGTATAACGTGCCGCCGTAGTTTACTTTACGTTTTCACTAACACTAGATCTAACGCCGGCGTAAAAAGACAATGCGGCAAAGCTAAACAAAACATATGTTTTGTTGATAGTGCCGTAAAAAATCCTTCAGCAGACGGAAACAAGATAGATTTTGTTAAAAAATTAAAATTGCATTTTATTCTGTTTAAAATCCATTAATAACTGAATTAAAATTAAGAATTAAAACTTTACAACAATATTTAATAAATATTCGCATAAGATCGCATACAACAACAGTGACATAAATTGTCTTGGCCAGGCACCACCAAAAAAGTCGATTATTTGAAAAAAATATTTCTATAGTTTTATTAAAAGAATTATATTGAATTTTATATGCCATGTCTGGCTACGAAATACCATCCTGGGCTGGCAAACCACCGACCGGCTTCCATTTGGATGTACTAAAAGAAGATAAACTGGTACAAAAGCTAATGGTGGATGAGAAGCGATGTTATCTATTTGGACGAAATGCTCAAATGAATGATTTTTGTATAGATCATGCATCCTGTTCCAGGGTACATGCGGCATTTGTTTATCACAAACATTTAAATATTGCATATTTAGTTGATTTGGGATCGAGTAAGTTACATCGTTATTTTTGTTGTTGTAAAATTATATTTACCACTTCTTTTTCGTCTAGCCCATGGCACATTTATTGGTTCGGTACGTTTGGAACCACATAAACCCACACAATTGCATGTCAACAGCACCTTCCATTTCGGGGCATCAACACGTAATTATATATTACGCGAAAGACCATCTGCTGGACAGCGCAATAACATAATGGAAGATATACCAATGAGTGAAACGAGTGATGGTGCCTTATTGGGATTACCGGAAACTCAAACGGAACTAGATGTAAATATCAGAAAATAATAATTCATAAAATGTTTCTATTAATTTAATATTTGTTTTTGTTTTACAGAATCTTACGGAATACAATACAGCACATAATAGAAGAATTTCCATGCTGGGAATAGTCGATGATATAAGAAAGGTAATTTGTTACTAAAGCTTAAGGTACAAAGATCGACCGCCTCGATTCTAATAACAGGAACCACGAGGAGCAACCCACAAGCAGCTCTGAACACAATGCTGAATTTAAGGCCTCTGGGCCTCAGCATTAAGTGTTAGGCCGCGCATAGTGCCCTAAGGCTGCATGAACAAAATCTTTGGCGAAGTTGTACCAGCGGGCATGGTTGTATCTTGAACGAACCAGGTTAAGACATTGGACCAACGCGCAAAACTAAGCGACTATATATCACCAGTCCTGAGATTTGACTGAAATCCAAGCTGAAATCTTCGCGATTTGGAAGGCAGCGGAATTGATAAAAAGTCTGGATGCAGAGATCGTTGAACCATCGGTGACTATCTTTGTGGGTAGTCAAGCGGCTCTTAAAAGCATCAAATTTGGTCGACTCTGCCACTCTCGAAAGGAAACAGCCACTATTGGACCTGAGCAAAGCTGAAATAAGAGTAATGACAGGCGTCATTACTGGCCATTGCAATATCATGACCTTTACCAGTAGATGGGACCATGATGCTACTGATTACTGTAGGCAACGTGATGTTGTAGCCCTATTATATTTACACAGAATTGGCCAAATAACATTTTAGTCGTAAAACATATAGTCTTGAAAACACCCGCCAAACGAAGTTGTGGTTTTTGTAACAGGTTGGCTGTTGATGAAATTTCTTTCCTGAAAATGGAAGAAGGAAAAGAAAAATATATTAATTAATTATTAGGAAATCGGATTTGAGGAGAGGAGAGTAGTCATAAGTCTACGCAATAGACTTGTAGGCTCGGACGGACAATTGAATAGATGGTGTGTGTCGTGAGGGCTTTGCTGGCAGATCGGGCATCTGTTTAGGGTTCCGGGGACAATGCGCTCTCGATACGAGTTGAGAACATTGCTGTATCCGGACCTTAGTTGTGCCAGAATTGCAGGAGGATGTTGTCGGAGACCGACAGTTGATTCACGGATTTCATCGCGTGCGCTATCGACAATCTGTTGACGTCCGATGGAATTACGTCTTGGATGCCATCACGATAGCGTCTGAAGTCCTGGTGGATATGTCGCGGAGGTGGATTTGCCATCATGTAATGGTTAGGATGACACGGCAGATATCATGCCAGCAGGAACTGTATAGTCAACAACACATTATGTTGCTTGACTGACAACATCCTGGTCTCCTCGTGGAGGTGATCGACGACGCTCGTCATCTGGACACAGCCCGTTGAAATTCGGAGTACATTATTTTGGGTTGTTTGCAAGGGTCTCCATTGCGTGTCACTAAGGAAAGAAGTCCAGACTGGGACAGCATAATTCAGGATGGAACGTCGTTACCAACGTTTCTTTATCCTTGCCCCAGGAGGTGCCAGCCAAAGCTGTCAGAACCTTTTTCCTAGCTTTCACCTTCTGGTAGATGTAATTGGAATGCGAGGAGAAATGAAGGAGGTTATCGAAGACCATCCCAAGGATTTTCGGATTATGAACGGTGGGGATGCGCCTACCTTCAAGGGAAATGTGAAGTTCTAGATTGACTTCTCGCGTCCAGGAAGTGAAAAGTGACACATTAGACTTTGCAGTGGATAATTTTAGATTGCGCTCCCGGAAGAAGTTGGTGAAAAAAGTAGTTGTGGTCCCAAAAATGCCTTTTGGGCTAGGTTCCCGTTAATGAAGAAGAAATGAAATTTCAAAAAGTTATAATTAATTTGTGAGACTTTCCATAATCAAAATCCCATTTTTTTGGAATCTTCTATTCTAGAATAAAAATCCCCGAAAACGTCGGAATGTCACCTTCAACGACGAAGAAATCATAATAAATCCTGAAGATATTGATCCAAATGTTGGACGCTTCCGTAATTTGGTGCAAACAACTATAGTTCCTGTGAAACGGGCACGTTTTGATGGACCATCGAATATGGGTATATCATCAACACCAACAACTCATGTCAATAGTCATCAGATATTCCAGCACAATTATCAGGAACATGCCAAAAATCTGCAAACTTCACCGAACAGCAGCAACAACAACAGCAGTGCACAACAGACGGCAACACCATCTCTGTATCAGGGATTGCCGGCAGCTACACATGAAACACATCCGGGTAGAACTGATATTAGCGGTCCATTGATTGGAGCAAAACTGGGGTTAGGTTTATTACTGCCAAATCCAGCGCCGGATGTAACGCCGGTATTTAATGAACCTGCTGCTACTGTACCAACAGCGGCAAATAACGCCAATCCACAAAAAGTCAATGTGGCAAATGGTAATAAAACTAGGGATAGTAGGTTATCCTTTATGATATTCATTGGAAGTTTTCTTTCCTTCTTTTTCGTTTTAGTACGCTACGAAGATCCTATGCACTCGGAAAGTTCCGGAACCTCTGGACCTCAAAAGAAGAAATATGCCAAAGAAGCGTGGCCGGGGCGTAAACCAATGCTGGGTTCTTTATAACACAAATTTACATAACACCACCCTGGTATTCTCAATTAATTATATTAATTAATTTCCTTCCCCCACCCTTTAATTTTGGATAAATTCAAGTCAAGGCAAACTCATTCACTTAGTTATAAAAAGTCAACGATTTATTAAAAAAATGGGTGTAATAAACGTAATAAATAACAAAACACCAACACCTTAACCTGTAAAAGTCGTCACCACTGTATTCCTTCTTGCCATAAGCACACAATACTTAAATTCCTTCATATGTATAGATTTGGGCAGTAGTCTTAGTTTGTAAAACCAAAAATGTCCGCTCACACACTATACGAAGCCTTTAGCTTGTTGAAGTACTCCAAATCTTGCCGACTTATTGATGGTATAAATTTCCGGAACGACTTTGTAAAGTCTTCCGTTTCCACAATAACATTTTCGGCCACCAACTCCTCATTGCTACGTCCCTCTTTCATGTGACGATCTATGATTCTACGTACGGCCGAAAGCCAAGCATTTGAACATATTGAATATAAATCGGCACCGGACATTTCTCCACGAAGTTTACCAGCAATTTCTTCTAAATTACAATCCGGGGCCAAATTGAAACGTTTCGTTTGTGCTTTGAGGACGGATGCCTTTTCTTCGGCGGTACTGCAGGGGCCCACATAGAATAATTTATCAAAGCGGCCAGGACGCAGCAAAGCTGGATCTATAAGATCTGGACGATTTGTGGCAGCCAAAATAAATATTGGTTTGGTGGGGTCATTACTCATGCCATCCATTTCTGCCAGTAATTGGGAAACAACACGATCCATAACACCACCCGAATCACCAGCTACCCCACGATTTGGAGCCAATGAATCCAATTCATCGAGAAATAGTACACAGGGAGCTGCGGAACGGGCCCTTGAGAAAACTTCTCTAACATTTTGTTCACTTTGGCCCACATACATGTTGAGCAGTTCTGGACCTTGTACCGAAAGAAAGCTTAAATTGCACTCAGTGGCCACAGCTTTGGCCACCAGGGTCTTGCCTGTACCCGGAGGACCATACAATAAAATACCCGATCTACGGAGATTCTTTCCCATGAGGTGGACATGTTTCAGGGGCAAGCCGATGCTGGATTGAATTTCATCTTTCAATTTAGCCAAGCCACCAATATCCGACCACAAGACCTTCGGTACCTTGGGAGCACCCAGACTGTCGGCAAATGACGCCTGCATGGCATTCAGATGTTCCGCAAAATAATCAAATGTAAGCGGTTTTAAGGCCTTATTAGATTTCCAATGTAAGCGTACGGCTTGATCGTGTAAATGTTTTAAATCTCCCAACAGGAAACCTTGTGTCTTATCGGCGACCTCTTGAAACACCGATTTGGCTTTCTGCCAATTTGGATATAATTTTGGCAGGAATTGTTCCTGCAATTCCATTGGGTAGAGGGGTATTGATTTAACATCACGAAAATTGAATATTTTGTTTTTGTAAATTTCCTGTTTGTGCAGCCATTTCAGGATTTCATAACGTTCCTCTTTGCTGGGCGATTCGATTTTTATCAATTCCAGAAACATGCGATGTATCATCGGTTTCAAGTATTTGTCATTGGTCAGGGCAATAATTATTACGGGATATTTGCGATTTTTGACAAATAACTCTTGGGTTTGGGCCTGAAATGTGGCCAAGAGGCGGAGATCTTCGTTGCCTTCGTTGTCGATGCCAAAGATCTAGGGGAAGAACAAACTGATATAAAAAGTAATGAGGGGGGAAAAATGCAAACTCACCTCAAAATTGTGGAAACAAATCAAAAGAGGCTCACTGATCAGGCTCTTGGCAAACACGGCCTTCAATTTCATTTCCGTGTGTGTCGGAACCTGTGATACAATTTCCGCACAATCCACTCCAAATACGTGTAAACCCAAATCCCGGGCCACAGCATTAACTAATTTCGTTTTACCACAACCCCGTTCACCCTGCAGCAAAAACATGGGATTTATGTGTTCTGACGATAGGCATGCAGATTTTCTTGGCAAAAACGCATCAATGGATGAACGCAAACATTCATAGGTATTTTGTAAGCCTGCGGGATATGCCTCCGCAATAACTAAATCATCCAATAGCTGTCTGGGTAGAAATTGTGGTGAACTTGCAACCTGAATGAGATTGGTTAAACCCTTCGCCACCACAGCATGCATTTCAAAATCATCAGATCTTGCCTCCAGCTTTACACAGCGGAAGTGTAAATATTTCATATAGGCAAATATTAGATAATAATGGGAATATTGGGCAGTGCCAATAAGTTCGGAAGTGATCTCTATGCGATAGGTGTGGCCACGATGTAAAATACGCGGTGTATCAAAATAGCAGCCTAATATGAAATCCGATACTTCGGGTGGCAGTTCATAGGGATTGTTGATAATATATACATGGGCCTTTACCGCGATATGCGGTATTGTTTGCTGATCATGTAGATGTTGGATTTTAGCCCAAATGCGTCGGCGATCGCAAAGTTTATTGGTAAAATGAAAACGGTCCCTGACATTTGAATAGAAATTTTCCTAAAATGGAGAAAATAAATTTAAATTTTTAAGGGGGATAAGAGGTAAATCATTCTGATTTTCCGTACCTGTACAAATAAACAATTGTTTTTACAGTGTTTCACCGGCAGTATCTGCACCATTATTGTGTGGGGTGAGGGTTTCAAAATCTTCTTAACCAAAGATTCACTATCTTCCTTCGAGGCACCATTTTGTCCATTTTGTGTGGTGGCTTCAACTGGTTCTGGTTTGCCACAGCTGACGGTTAAATTTATAAAATTCACTTCTTTCGATTCGGCATACATTTCGAAAACATCTTCTGAGGCGAACACCATATGTTCGGATTTAATAAATTGATCTTTTATTAAATGTTCGTACAACGTATTCGGCAGTGGTACCAGACGAAATTTATCCTTAAAATATTTCATATAACGTCTATAGACGGCATATTGTATATAACCGGGAAATATATACCAAGCCCGATTGGGAAATAGAATTTGTATGACACCATTATAGGCTTCGATGAGCTCACGCATACGTCCCGTATATTGGTAAAGAGATGGTTCGCCATTGTCAATCGAACGTTTTGGAACTATCTTTTTCTAGATTATTAGAAGAGGAAGAAAAAACAATCAAAAGTGAAAATAAAAAATTACAATTGTTGCATATTCTTGTTCGGAAGCTAATTATTAAGAAACAGATGTTAGTTTTTATGAAATGCAATGGAATTATGAAACAGATGTTATAGAGAACAGAACATGAGGTGTTAGTGTTGCAACTACATTTTAGAGATTATTTTAATACCCTACACCACATTGAGCTATCATTTATTGTTTGGTACAGCTGTAGATGAGTTGACAATCCTTAGCAGAGTCGAGCTTGGGTCAAATTTTCCATATAATATTTCACATGGTTGACAACATTGCACATCGAATTCAAGAAGAAATTACGCATTTTGACAGTTAATCGAGTAATCAGCTGCGCTAAATGGACAGCCTGTTTATGCCATGAGTCAGTCCATTGCTCCTTCCATATACTTCCTAGCAAACCAAGGTCGCTATAAATTCAGACCATATCCTGGTCACGATAGAGAAATCCAGCGATTTCGTGGAGCCCGATCAGCTTTTAATGAATTATAATAAAGCCAAGTGGCACGACTTCACAAAATTCAGTGAGGGCTTCTTAAGTCCTATGGCGCCACCCGTATGTGCCAGAAAGGGTGAGAAGATTTTCCGAGAAATATTTTAAAAGCAGCAAAAAACTTCATTCCGCGGGCTAAATACCTCTAATGAGACCCAAATATCCATCCAGGGCCTCTAGATTGGCACAACAGCGCAAACATCTTCCTGTCGAAGGCCCCACTGGCGACAGAATCCCGCAGCTAAGCGCTAAAATATATACTTTAGTCCTTTATCATAGGCGCTCTAAATGGTTAGAGCACCTTAACCACTGCAATATAAATTTCAAGCAGCTATGGCCTACTATCAAGAGTTTATCTGGTTCCAATAGAAATGAAAATCTCCCTGATATTTCCTTCAATAACATTCAACATTCTGATGCCAAAAAACATGTGCATTGCAGTTCTGCTGCCAATTCTTTGAACATCCATCTTTGCAGAACTGGATCAAACGAGCAGTTATCCGGAGATCCAAGTATCTTAAAAGAGACTTGCAGCCCCCATCATTTACATCCAGCGAGTTAGAGGCAATTATCTCCAGATCCAAGCCATCCAAAGCCCTTGGTCCATGTTCATTTTAAAGAAGCTTGATGCAATAAGGCTTGTTTGTCTGACCAAAGTTCACGAGTTATCGACGTCACAGTTAGCAATTCCGTATATTTGGAATTTTGCCCAGATTATTTCAATTCTAAAACCAGATAAATCCGCAACTAATGGGGAATTCTACCGCCCGATTTCTCTTCTTTCACCAGTAGCCAAGGTTTTAAATTCTTTATTGCATCCGTCCCTGAAACAGTATTTCGTTCTTGTGCTACCCACCAACATGGTTTCAGCAGAACATATAGCACAACAACATATGTGCAAGAAATTACTTCCAATATTGCAAATGGCCTCAATCAGCGATGGCCAACTGAACGGACCATTGTGACAGCCTTATATCTATCCAAGGCATTTAATACGGTTGTCCACTCCGAGCAAATATCCGACATCACAAATTCCAACCTTCAGAGTGATATCAAGCGTTGGCTTGCCGACTAATTGTAGTAATGGTAGTTGGCAAGCCTGTAATGGTAGTTGACAAGTCTTCGTTTAGCTCCGTGACCAAAAATCCAAATACCGCAGAATCAAAATAGGAGTACCCAAGGCGGTGTCCTATCTCCCATTTTGTTCAACATATATCTTGCGAAACTCCCTAAGCCTCGACCAGATGTTTCAAACGTTAACTTTTACGACGTAACTGCAAATGTTTCCAACTATTTAGCCATCATCAACAACTTCTTCCGGGACAGCAATCTAAAATTATTTATGGACTACCGAAGGTGTCAAATAAGGCTGGGGTTCTGAAAATTCGTACTAGAACGAAACGAATAGTACCATTTGTATTTATTTATTTTCAAATTCATGATGCCTAGTCTTTCGACCTTAAGGCGGTAAACTACATTAAAACTGTAGAGGTAGAAATCTTAATTTTGGAATGAGGGTCAATGATAAAGTGTAGGTTATAGGTACCAAAGGGTACATGTACTAAATCTATTACAATTTCGTAGCATGTCAACGGATAGAGCTAAAAACCTGAAATTTTTAATGCGAATCATGGTTGTGTAGTTGGATTGATATAAGCAGGTTGCTTTAGAAGTGTATACAGGTGTATACAAAAGGAACTAAATGTTACTAAATTTGGTACAATTTGAATTTGGTGAATCGCATGGAGCTGAAATCCTGATATATTGGCATTAAAATTACTGTTGAAGTATAGTATTGAGGATGTACTAAATGATACTAAATTTGGTACAATTTGAATTTTCAGTGAACCTGTAGAGCCGGAATACTGAATGGACTTAAGATTACTCTTAGAGAGCAGGATTGTGGTATGTAATTCTGTAATTATGGGTACCAAATGTACTAAATTTTATACGTTTAGAGGAAAAATTATTTAAAACAAATTGTAATTGTTTTGTTGTTGTTTTTTGTAATTAAAGAGAAGTCACTGGTACATCGGAATCCGAAAATTCCAACGGTGTTAGAAAGAGTACATGTCTGGCCCTCGTATGAAATAGGATTATTGACTTCGCTCTAAAATTAACAAAATGGCGGACATTGAAAAAAATATTTTTGGAAAATCGCCGATTTTTTACCAAAACCAAGTTAAAAATAAGGAAGATCTTCATCGATTGGCTTTATCCTAGTTCATACGATAGCTATACACTCACATAGAAACGTGTAAAAATTTGGAATCGATTGGGTTATTAGTTTTTCAGTTATCGTGCCCGCCATTCACAAAAGAGAAAAACGCGTTTAAAGTTTGAGAAGCCCTTTAGCCGTCACTTGATGCCTACACACACATTCTTGAAATTTTTGACTCCCCTTAAGAGTACTGTTTGATTGTAGATACTAAAATGTATGTGTACTAAATGGATTTGTCTGACTTGCAAATTGAATGCGATTGTTTAAACCCTTCGCCACCACGGCATGCATTTCAAAATCATCAGATCAAGCCTCTAACATTACAAAGCGGGTGTGTGTACATTTCGATATGTAGGTAGTTTATGAAATTTGTGCTTATGAATACTAACTGGTACTAAATTGGGTGCAATTCGAATTGTTGGTGAATTGAAAAAGCTGGAATCCTAAAATTTGGAATTAAAATTACGGTTGGATTGTAGGTACTAAATTATATGTGTACTAAATGGTACTAAATTTAGTACAATAGTTCTGGAATCCTAAAATAGGGAAATAAGATTTCTATTGTGGATTGTATGATGTAGGTAGTTATGGAAATTTGTACTTAAGTGTACTTAATGGTACTAAATTTGATATAATTTGACGTGTGTATAAGACTTTTTGGCGAGTGTGTGTAAAGCGGGAAACACATACGAGGATTTAGGCCTTCGTTGGCTTCGTATGAATTGTCAATTTATAAAGGAATATCAGAGTTGAATTTGAACAATAAAAGAAGGCGACTTGACATGCCAAGCCTGAAAGTCCGTCCTCTTATGTATTTCCCCCTTAAGACCTCAGTATGCACAAAGAAGTGTCTCTCGCTCGGCGACTTGGAGTTCATGATGTTTAATTTAATTTATATACCCAAAGTGGTGTAGGGTATCATATAATCGGTCACGACGACCGACTTGTACCTTCATTACGGATTTGTGTGCAATATTAAATTGTTAGTTTGTGTTTTTACTAGTATACCACATTAAATAAAATATAGAAAACATCTAAAAGCCTGGGATTAGTAAAAAATGTGAATTAAGAGGTGTAAATAATACATTCTTACCAAAAATAAAGACGGCTGTATTTAGAGTTTTGAGTTGAGACCAAATGTGTTTTTTAAATGTGTTGTTGTTGTTACCTATTTGTAATCGACCGAGAATGTTAAGTAGTTAACAAAAAATGTTTTTTTTTTTTGGTAATATATATTATTCATATTATGCTCAAGGCAGTGTCAATTTTTTCAAAATTAAGTCTCTAGAGTCTCTGATTACAATAATATGTTTTTTCTTTCATTTCAAAATTATGACAATTTTGGTTTATTAAAATTTAGAACCAAATCTGCACGATATATATTAATGATCATAAAACGCTTAATTTAAGTGTAGAGAGTGTTAATGAATTTTAAGATTTTAGAATCAATTATGATCACATTTTTAGCGATCCACCCTTATGTGCACTCATGTTGTACTATATAGTATAGTTTATCATTTATCGTTCACTTGTGCGTTCTGATGAAATGAATATATGTACTTGATTTTAATGGTACTATTGCGAAAACTTACCTCTTCATTTAGTTCGACCATTTCACGACACAATAAATTTCTTTCTTTTCTATTTCAGACAAAAATATACATTCAGAACGTCAATTCCCTTCTTTTCTTTACACAAAACACGTAATCTACAAAAATACAAAATGCCGATTTTTTTGTTTTATAAATGAAAGAGGTTATTAACTATTATACGATAAGAAATTCAAACCAAATCACAATCAATGATTATTTTCAATAACTATATTTTTAAATGGGGAGATTTCAAAATTTTAATTTATTTGTTAACAATATTCCATACACCACTTTTTCATTATTAACTACATACAAATTTACACCGTGCGGGATCAGTAGTTATCAACAATCCAATTGGATTTTTAACCTTTTACCTTCTTAACAGTAGTAACTCTCTTTTTCATTGCTTGATAGGAAGGAAAACAAACAACCAACGTTATCTCAGAATTTTATGTTTTTAATCTTGTGTGTGGAGAGGCACCAAAGAGATTATTGTCAGGGCGACAAATTAAAACCTTAAATATCCATAATGCAACAGCTGTTCAAACATATGGTTATGGTTGGAATGCCAAGAGAATTGATAGCAAAGTTTATGAGAGACAATCAGCTGATTACAGTGTGTTTCACACGATAGACAACTTGATGGTCAAAGTGTTACAGTAGGGTCTTGTTTATGTGTCAACAAGGTGTCAAGCTATGTTAATGAAAAAGTTGCCAGGAATTTCGAATAATAGATTTGCAGGTTAAATTCATGGCAAATTAAATTGAATGAATGAAGTCAGTATTATGGAATGAATAAATAAAATAAATAATAAATATATAAAAATATTGCAAAATTTAATTTCATTTAAAACAATGAATAAATAAAATAAATAATAAATATATAAAAATATTGCAAAATTTAATTTCATTTAAAACACAAGGAAACGATATGCGTTTGTGAGAGAAGATTATCGAGAGATTTCCAGAAAGATATAAGAAGGTAAGTTTGGAAAAATGTCGATGACTATATACATCAGGCTGAAGATATATTACGTGTCAAGGTTGCACTTTCCCAACCAAATTAGGTTTCTAATTATGGTGTAGATTAGAGCAGGTTCGGTTGTTGAGCCCTTGAGAGGTCTGTGCCGCCTGTAAGCCAGGGCTGGACAGTGACACAGAAGATGCTCAATTGTCACCGTCTCCTCTTCGTCAACACAGTCTACAGTAATCAATTGCATCAAGATCCCGTTTACTAGTGAAGGCCCTGATATTACAATGACCAGTAATGATTCCTGTCATTACTCTTATCCAGCTTTGCTCAGATTCAACAGTGAGTGCGTCCTTTTGGTAGACAGAGTCGGCCAAATGGATCTTGACACGTTGCACCTAGGTTCATTGTGCCAAAGTTCATAGGCTCTTTCGTCGAAGAACGCCTCAATGTTCCGGTAAAGATGACATCTGTGGATTGAGATCCCCGTTTAGCTAGTTTGTCAGCTCTTTCATTACCCAAGATGTCACGGTGTCCTGGTACCCAACACAGCCGATAACTGTAAGTAAGTTCTTCCAAAGCTGTTATACACTTGAGGACGCCCTCAGATTTGATATAACATGATTTGATGGCTTTAGACCCGCTTTACTATCTACGAAGATAGTCACCGGTTCAACGACCTCTGCATCCAGACGTTTTATCAATTCCGCTGCCTTCCAAATCGCGAAGATTTCAGATTGGAAAGACTACAGTTGCAATCCAGCTTGTAGGTTAACTCAAGTCCTAGCCTTTCACAGTAGATGCCAGCCCCTGTAACTTCTTCCATCTTGGATCCGTCTGTATAGAATGCCAGACCGTTCAGAGGAGGGTTACATCGGTTCCAGTCGTCTATACTAGGAATAACGTCAAATCTCTGGACTGGTGATATATAGTCGCATAGTTTTACGCGTTGGTCCAATGTCATACCTGGCTCGCACAAGATACGACCTGCTAAGATTCGGACCCCTTTTCTAAATATTTCACTGCAATTTCATAAAATTAATTTATAAACTTGTTTTAATTTACAAAAATAGATTTTGATAGAGGTTTTAAAATATAGACGACAATGATGATAGATAATTTAAATTGATGACACAAAGAGGACATACATTTTATAGATGACTGTCAGTTAAAATAGATGATTGTCCTCTAAAAAAGAGGACGTATGGTCACCTTAAACTACTGCATCTGCATTTAGATGTTTAGCGCTACGTTGCAAAACAAAGACCGTGAGGAACTTGAACATACCGAAAAAGACGCGAGAAAAGGACATTTAATGTTCTTATAATACCGAATAGTGCAGCTACAGATATATCAAAACGGGGATCGATATTGATCATTTTCGGTATTGAGTTTTAACACCAAATTTGTTTAAAAAAATACCGACAGATGATTCAACAGATGAACAAACAGACGAACATGGCTTATGATCAGGAATATATATACTTTATGGGGTCTCCGACGACTATTTCAAGATTTGCAAACGAGAAAAGTTGGCATAGAGTGTCATTCAAATTTATAGTGTGTACACCGCTTAACATTTGGTAACAATTGTTATCAAATATCGAGTAACCAAATCAGATTTCCTATCACTGTTGACCACTTATTGACATTTGTGTGTTTTGGCGCCAATTTTTGTAAACAAACAAACAAAACACAGCTTGCATATCTCAGCAAAACCATCGGAATTGTAAACAAAAACCAAAGTAACAACAAAATTAATTAAAAACAACTTACCTTGCATTTTGTTATAAGTTTAAAAGTTTGCGGTCATGGCCACATTAATTGAGCAATTGGTAACCAAAATGGGTTTAATTGATGAACCAACTATACTAGAGTATGTTTTAAACCTTTGGTAGTCTTTGATACAAAAACTAAAGCAGTTATTATTTTTGTTTCCAGGAAAACTACAGAATTGGTGAGACTATTAGAGCTGAGGTCCACTAATGTCCCATTGCAAATAAATGAATATGGCAAAATTGTCTTATGTGGTGATATCGCAGCTACCCTATTAGGAATAGCATTTGATAAGGTTAGTCACACTCTGTAATTGATAGTTTCGATCTATCTAATAAAAAAAATGCATTACAGGAACAAGCCTTAAAATTATCTGGTCTACGAAAATCTCATTATACCAACAACAAACGTATGATAGAAAAACTATTAGATCTCAACAAATTGGTTGGCGTCAATGACATTTGCATACAATTGAATCTGCAAGAGGTCAAAAAGAAGGCAGATGAACTTCTAGAACTTTACCGGAAAGTGGTGGCCAGCGAACAAACCGATATCGATGATACACATCCACAATATGCCAGTATGGCTGTCTTCATGGCCTGTAAATTGTGTCAAAAGAAAGTGTCGAAAACGAAAATAATGCCCTTTAGCAATTTAAGACCCACACAATGGCAACAACTGGAACAACGTTGGGAAAAACTTATTGCCAAACATTATAAAAATACTATGGATAATAAATTGAAAGTTGATGAGGAGTGTAATGATGAGAACAAAGAGAATGGATCGGGCAAGCAAACTAAGGGTGACGTAAAAAAGGAGCGGCGTGTCGAGATTGAAGATTATGAAAAATGGAAAAAACGTATGTTGGAAATGGCCCAGGCTAAATTAAAGCAGCAGGAGGAGGAAGAAGAAGCAAGAAATAAAGTTGAAACGTCTAATGTGGTGGAAAATGAACTTATTGAAAATAGTGAAACGGCTATACTGGGATGTTAAGATGTTTATTGAATTGGAAATTTTTGTTACATTTATTCTGTTACATACATAAACACCTTAAATTTAAAAGGATTAGTATTTTATAATTTTTTAATTATTTTAAAAGCATCTTGCGCTGATTTTTTTGGCAAAGCTCAATATTTTAGAATACAAAAAAATAAAATTATAATTTAAAACAAAAATTTTGAAAAATCGCAATTTTGTTATAAGTTGAATTTTCGAATTTAATATAGATCGGCCTGGGTCACTTTTCAAAACAAATCTTGATCAATATTGTGGAGAAAAAATCTTGAAGTTCTAGGCAAATTGCGAAACAATCCAATAAGTTCGACCGGACCGAACTCTCTTTACCCTCTACCATGATGCCCTATCCTATGGTAAATTTTTGGTAGGAAGATTTGTCGCCCAATTAGAATCAAATTGGATCCAACTCAGCTAAAAAATGCGAAACATACCGAATTACAGTTTTATGGGAGCTACCAAAAATTGGATCGGTATCGATGATTTTTGGTGGGAAATAAAAATGTTAAATTGCAACCAATTCGGTTAAAAATCGTGCCAAAAATCCCCAAAATTCGAATATTAAAGGGTACCGTTATACGGGTGCTACCCTGAAACTTGGCTCAATATTATTAATTTTTGGTACGGATATGTGTTATTCAATGAGATCTCAAAATGCCCAAATTACAGCCAATTCGGTTGGAAAACGTGCCAAAAATACCGAATAATGGGGAGTACCTTTATATAGGAGCTATCATTAAAAGTAGATCGATATCGACTATTTCTGTTAGGGAGATTTGCTACACAATGGGAACCCAATGTACCAAATTTCAGCAATTTCGTTTGAAAACGGGCCACAAAATCCCCAAAATAACGAATAATGGGGAGTAGCGTTATATGAGAACTATCATAAAAAGGGGGCCGATATGGATGATTTTTTGGTAGGAAGATTTGCTACCCAATGGGAACTCATAGTACCAAATTACAACCAAATCGGTTCAACATCGTGCCAAAAATTCCCAAAATACCGAATTATAGGAGTTACCTTTATCTGGGAGCTCTCATTAAAAGTGGACCGATATCGATAATTTTCGGTAGCTAGATTTACTACACAATGGGAAGTCATATCAAATTACAGTCAATTAGATTGAAAAACGGGACACAAAATCCCCAAAATCCCAATCATTTTTATCGTGATAAATCGACATAGTGAGTTAATTGAAGCTGTGAATGAAGAAGCTGGATTTTGTTTTCACAATAGATTAAATTTGTCATGTATTTAGTATTGTTTCGCAACAATGAAATAAAAAATATATAAAACTAAAAAAAAAAGTTTTAAAATCTTTTCATCTATGAACATCACGTCACATATTTTTTATGTGGTTAGGAGAATCTCATCATCTACGATGTTCATTCCACATATTTGTTATGTGGCTAAGTAAAACATCACCCACATCTTGAGGTCTACCATCATTTTGATAAGCTAAAATGAAACAAGAAATAATTTATTAAGTTACAAAAATTAATAACAGAAATAAAACCCCTACCGTTATACAAAACTAATTCAGCTTCATCCTCTGTGGGAGGCCATTCTTTTAATAGCTTCTTCAAATGTTTGTAGAATTTCAAAAGAATTTCACGTTTCATCTCCTTCATTTGCCATGTGGTTGAGGGATGATATGACATAGCCTCGAAAAATGACAGCATAGGTGTTGCCCCTTCAACAGCTACATAATAATATGTACCATTAATCGGTACAGTAAATCTATAAACATCATTCTTAAAAGGTCGTTCAACGCCAGCACGATTCTTTACAACGGTTTCCAAAGGCTTCATTTAAAAAGTAATAAAAATTTCAATGTAAATTACAGCTTATTGCATATTTCCACATTAAACTAAGTTAGGTATTTTTTTTTTGCCAAAATCCATTCGAATATGTAATGGAAAATAAAAATTTTGTTTTTCTGCCAATGTTTTCTTTTTTTTTTGAAATTTCATCTTACCGCAACCCCGTCTTTTGTCAATATTCGACTTTCTATTTTCGAGTTAATAAACATTGTATTGGGTACGAGTATTATTAAGCGTTTCACGGCAAACTCAACATGCTCCTTGGCTTCATATTGTTCGATTCGTTCTTTTAAACCCGGATGGCCGGTGTGTGAGGGCAAGGTTAATTTTAAATAGCCATGGAAATAATTTGAAGCCATTCCTAAAAAATATTTATTGGTTATATTTGCCAAATTGAATAATAAAAACGTTTACCTTCAGCATAATCCAAACCGTGAGATTGCCTTACGAAATTGGCATAATCCAAATGTGAAAAAGAGAGACCAACCCACACAAGTAGCCAATATAGTGGCATAAATGCCAACCACTTCAATGGCGGCAAAACAAATTCTTTTGCCATGGCAAATCGTATTAAAGCTCCAAATACAAATAGCAAAATGAATACTATTGTTGGTATATTAAGGCTAAAACATCGTCTAGCCACTTGCCAGTATTTTGCTCCTCCATCTACGTCATAATAATTACTATAGAATAATATTTCATGGCCATATCGAAAAATTCGCACGCACAATTCTGCCAATAAGGCCACAGCAAGTATCCGTATACAAGTGTCTGTAAAAATAAGAATAATAACAAATTGTGAAATAATTGAATTGATTTCATTTCAGTTCGAATGCACCCACCTATATATTCCTCCATCATAATACACCTTTTTCTTGATCGAATGCGTTTGTCTTGCTCCCGATAAGAAACGTCATTTCTTTTTGGCATAATTATTACTGCAATTTCATGTTCACCGACTGAAGTAAAATTGGTAGCATTCACTTAGAATTGATAGCAAAGTTTATGAGAGACAACCAGCTGATTACAGTGTGTTTCACATGATAGAGAACTTGGAGGCCAAAGTGTTACAGTAGGGTATTGATTATATGCCAATGCAATGTTAATGAAAAAAGCTGCTAAAGGGCTAAACAGAATGCTCGCGTTGAGCCATCCGTCGCGTTATATGTTATCGAAAATACAACAACCACAAGGAAACGATAACACAAACGCATATCGTTTCCTTGTGGTTGTTGTATTTTCGATAACATATAACGCGACGGATGGCTCAACGCGAGCATTCTGCTTAGCCCTTAAGAATTTCAAATAATAGATTTATAGGTTAAATTCGTGGGAAATTGGAATGAACAAAAAATAAATAAAGTAATGATTCGTATGGCAAATTCGTTTTATTTGACAAATTTTAGCGTCTCAGTAATTTTTTTTTCAAAATTGTTGTTTCAGAAAATAACTGGAGATATTAATATTTATTTATCTGGTTATAAACCTGAATAGCTTTATATTTTGGTGGTTCCACCTTTGCGTCGTTGCGCTTTGTGCCAATTATTTTAATTTGGGAAAGTTTTTGAAAGTGTCGATTAGCATATTTTCAATAACATTGCTGAACATTGCTCTCAAGATTTAACCATAGTGGTTACAAGTTATATTTATAAGTTATAGTGGCAGGGAACTTCAAAATATTTATAAATATAAATAAATTTAGCAATTTTTTCCACTGGACACAAGATTTACGTACATTTTGAAGGAAATGTCTCGATCATCTGACAGTTGGTTGAACTGGCAGAACTTAATTGGAATACGTTGTCATGCTAATTGAACTGAGTAACCATTTGAACGATATAATGCCATGCCAGACGAGCCTTGTTCTTATTCGTTGTTCGTCCCTTAATTATGAAGTAATTACTTAGTTCCACATACAATATTGTCTGAGCGAACACCGACTTTTGTACATTGTTCAATTCGAATCACTCTCTGAATAACAAAGAAAATTTGTCCCATCCCTAACAATTGAGAGTATTTATCGAAAATAACTTAATTTTGACAGCTTGAAAATAGGTTCGTTCGTTTACTTTCCCAGTAATATTTACTCAGTAAGAATTTGCAGAGAGTAAATACGAATTTTTCCTTTTCAAGAGAGAAAACTGCAAAAAGTAAACGAACAACATCCAGTAAAAAGATTGTTTCGACACAGCTGATTAAAACAACAAACAAATTGGCGCAAACTAAAAAACAGCATTTTTATTAGAAAAATGGATAACAAGCGGAAAATTGATGTTGTTTGTTCCCCACAAACATTTAAAAGGGTTGTGACCTGTTATTCCTGTATCTGCAATTGATATGGGGGTGGACATAACCGATGGTGTTCCAGACATGTTAGGGATGCACTTTTTTGTTTGGATTTGGAACCTAAAAAAATCGTTCGCCAATTACTCTTGTATTACCTTATTTTTAAATACTTGCGTTTTCTTCATCCATTTTTGTATTTAATGATACAAAATCAAAATAAAATTCACAAAACAATCAATTTTCTTGAGAAAAATTTTTTGTTTGTTTACAAAACATAACAAAACAGCTGATTAAATATCAGCTGATGGTACAACAAAATTCTTACTGAGTAAATTTTCCTTGTAAGAATTTGCAAATACTCAGTAACACAACTGTCAAATCTGCTCTCTCAATTCGCTCTCTTTTACTGGACTTTTGGGTAAACGAACAACATTTTGTAATAATTTGTACAAATTCGTACAAATTATTGAGTAAACGAACGAACCTAATATATATAAAATTTTCAAACATTTTCAGTAAAAATCGTATAGTTTGTATAAATGCAGCAGGATGTAAATTTTGTAATCTACATAATGCAATACGCATTTCTTTCCCCCTTGGTTCTAATAAGTGTACAAAACAAGAAACAAATGTGGGGAAACTCAAATAAAAATATCTCCAAATTTGTATATGTGACTGTGACAATTGTGACATTTGAATTGAGAAAATATAAAAATGTATTGAAAACAACATTTTCAGAAAAAATGGAAAACATGAACGAAAAGTAAATAACTATGGGTTCTTACCATGGTATAATAATTAAAGGTAACAGCAAGTGTTGTTGTACAAAAAACGATACAACAACCACATGGAAATTTGTTGTTGTAAGTTCTACTAGTGTCAACTCATTTGACAGAAAAATGTAAACAAACAAACAAATTATCATCAAATTATTTTTATTTTGAAAATGGAATATTTCGAATCCTCAAAATAAAAATTGAAAAACATGAATGAAAATCTATCAAATTTATATTTCTATCGCTTCCACATCTTTCCTTTAATTGAGCCATTGCCATATATATGTGTAACACATATGACAATGCTGGGAATAGCGAGTAATTCCATCAAGAAAGATTTGCTTCCTCAAACTTTCCCAGCAGGCAGATTGAGTAAATTGAATACGGGAGCACATTAATAAAGAACAATTTCAAATTGTATGCGTTCCCAATTTTCCTGTTGGGTGATTTTTAAAAACATAATTTGTCAAATTTATATTGACATTAGTATTACGTTGGAATCAAATCAGCTGGGATTTGCTGTTACCTTTTATAATTGTACCATGGGTTCTTACTATATTCAAGAGAAAGAGAATAGTTTTTTTCTATTTAAATTCATAGGTAATATACACAAATAAGTTGAACTTTTGGTGTAAAAGGAGAAACAACAAATTTGAAAAAGAAAATTCTGATGACATGAATTAAGAATAGTGTTGTATGAACGGGTTAATTCATATACGTAATTCTGAGAGCGAAATAATTTTGTATGTATTCTAAAAAACATCAACTGATCGACATTTAGATCATGATTAAAGTTATGTGTAAAAAATTTAGGTGTATTTCTGGATTTCGTTAATCGAGTCGATTTAAAATCTTGCATATAAATGTACTTTTATTAATCACGATATAAATGTCGATCAGCTGATGCGTGTTAGTATACATATAAAATTATTGATTTGCGCCAAAAATATTCGTTTGCAATTTGAAAAGTAAAAGAAAAATTACAGCAATGGAAATGTTTGGAAAGTAAAAAATGTTTTGAGTAGTCGCTACGCTACTCGTATATTTTAGTAGTCGCTACTCATATATTTAATAAAGCCGGCATATGTTACCATTTTTTTTATTTAAGACATCTACAGTCTCTTAAATTTTGTGTTTTTTGAGTCGTTCTCTCCGAAGAAGTTCATAAAAAGTACATATTCATATTATGTTTAAATTAGATTTTAACAGCCTCTTAAATGAGGTATGTTCTGAGTAGTTCTCTCCTGAGGAGTACGTAAAATGTAAATATTTAAATATAAATATCACACATTTAATTACGTCCGATATGTGCATGTGCCTTTCAAAGATGTCATGTCTGGTCTATCGACAGGATATTGAGTGTAGGAGCATATCTTGAATATTCCCAATGAAGCGATATTATTAGACGGTGCCGTCTGAACTTTTTTTGGGGCTGTTTTTTGTTGTCTGATACTTAATGATAAAAACTCGTACCAAAAACATATGGCAAACCAGTGAACGGTGTAGTATAGTCGGATGGGGCCGACCACATGATACCCTACACAACTACCAATGAACTCAAACTTTCAGTTTATCCATATTCCGAGTCTTGGTAATATTTCGCGATTTTGAACACTCTTGACCGACTTAACTTATTCGATCTATATCCTTCTGGGGTAAATTTGCACGCCATAGAACGGAAATTATGACACTTTTCACACAAATTGACCAATCTTTATCAAAATATGCACTATTATTCTTTGGCCTGATCTCCAAGCAAAATTTCCTGATGTTCGAATCATAATTGTGGCCTCTAGAGCGACCAGAAAAAAACAGACAATAATAATGTTTTAGTTCATTTCATCTACTAAATATTAACGGATCATTAACAAAAACAATAGGGGTCTTCTTTGGCCAGAACCCATCCTACATGCAACAGTTCGAGACGATTGGTCCATAACTGTCGCCTGTACCGTGTTTACAAATTGTAATGAACAGACGGACGGACACACATGTCTAGATCGACTCAGCTTGTCGAGATATGACGATCGGTATACTAAAGTGTGGGACTAGGACCAATATTTCGCGGCGTTATAAACTCTTGGGGTTGCACCAAGCTGTGTAAGGTATAATTAGTATTTGTTTCAAACATGTTAGATTCGTCGATGGAGCAGCCGAAGAATAGATGCGGTAGATGATGGGGCACATTCGTCACCCAAAAGAATAGCCTAACAATTATCATTGCTATCAGTTTGGTTAGAATTAAGATTCTCTAAAGGTTCTATCTTATTTTAATACGCGACTCAATAATGGACGTTTAATACTATATGTCTCAGGCCACACACAGCATCATAAATCGCGTTTGGGTAATACATGTCCTTGCAGAGAACTATCAATATATGCCAATGTTCTCGAATACCCTACATAAATGGGTACCGTCCCATCTTCGATATCTTGAAGTACTTAGGCAAAACATTAGTATCTGTAAAACCTCATAACAGACAATATACATTGTAGGACCATACTTATAAACGCCCCAACAAATTTTAGATCTTTTTAACGCCCATGTACATAAAAAACTATAGTTATATAGTTATATTAAATACAACAATATTTCGATATGTTTAAAACTCGAATGAAGACATTTTGCTTGAAGCAGGGGTTCATAGGCAAATCCCTGCCTTTTTATTTGGTTCCGTCGGACTATACTCCATACTGGTTGTAATAAGTTCATGCGACGGACTAGCCATATAATCTTGATAAGTTTAAAATGTGGAATATTCTTAGGATCATCTTATTTAACAACATATGGCAAACCAGTGAACGGTGTAGTATAGTCGGATGGGGCCGACCACATGATACCCTACACAACTACCAATGAACTCAAACTTTCAGTTTATCCATATTCCGAGTCTTGGTAATATTTCGCGATTTTGAACACTCTTGACCGACTTAACTTATTCGATCTATATCCTTCTGGGGTAAATTTGCACGCCATAGAACGGAAATTATGACACTTTTCACACAAATTGACCAATCTTTATCAAAATATGCACTATTATTCTTTGGCCTGATCTCCAAGCAAAATTTCCTGATGTTCGAATCATAATTGTGGCCTCTAGAGCGACCAGAAAAAAACAGACAATAATAATGTTTTAGTTCATTTCATCTACTAAATATTAACGGATCATTAACAAAAACAATAGGGGTCTTCTTTGGCCAGAACCCATCCTACATGCAACAGTTCGAGACGATTGGTCCATAACTGTCGCCTGTACCGTGTTTACAAATTGTAATGAACAGACGGACGGACACACATGTCTAGATCGACTCAGCTTGTCGAGATATGACGATCGGTATACTAAAGTGTGGGACTAGGACCAATATTTCGCGGCGTTATAAACTCTTGGGGTTGCACCAAGCTGTGTAAGGTATAATTAGTATTTGTTTCAAACATGTTAGATTCGTCGATGGAGCAGCCGAAGAATAGATGCGGTAGATGATGGGGCACATTCGTCACCCAAAAGAATAGCCTAACAATTATCATTGCTATCAGTTTGGTTAGAATTAAGATTCTCTAAAGGTTCTATCTTATTTTAATACGCGACTCAATAATGGACGTTTAATACTATATGTCTCAGGCCACACACAGCATCATAAATCGCGTTTGGGTAATACATGTCCTTGCAGAGAACTATCAATATATGCCAATGTTCTCGAATACCCTACATAAATGGGTACCGTCCCATCTTCGATATCTTGAAGTACTTAGGCAAAACATTAGTATCTGTAAAACCTCATAACAGACAATATACATTGTAGGACCATACTTATAAACGCCCCAACAAATTTTAGATCTTTTTAACGCCCATGTACATAAAAAACTATAGTTATATAGTTATATTAAATACAACAATATTTCGATATGTTTAAAACTCGAATGAAGACATTTTGCTTGAAGCAGGGGTTCATAGGCAAATCCCTGCCTTTTTATTTGGTTCCGTCGGACTATACTCCATACTGGTTGTAATAAGTTCATGCGACGGACTAGCCATATAATCTTGATAAGTTTAAAATGTGGAATATTCTTAGGATCATCTTATTTAACATCATGTACCAACTAGTCTTATACACAACAAACACAGACACATAATCTTGAAAACAAATATGACTGCATATTGAAAATTTATTAAAAACTTTTAAACAACCGATTATATATTTATTATGAAAGAACACAACAACATATAAGATATTAACTTTATTATAATAATGCTATTTACAGCAGCATTTGATAGCGAACATATTGAGAATTATGAAAATATCGCTTGTAAGCTGTGTTGGCGATTTCACTTCTCGATACAATTGTCCTGTAGTTGGCTATTTTGCGCATTAATGATTTCGAGGAATTTACAATTATGAATATCGAGAGATAGCGGATAGAGATTGTTTTGTTTAGTAAATAGGCTTATATTAGAAACATTTTAGTTATATGTGGCAGTTAATCTGGTTCGCACAACAAACAACAAAGCATGACATCAACGCAAAAACAACGCATTTCAGTCGATAAATTGAAAAATGAAAACGGAAATGAAAATACAAAAAGAATATCCAAGTAATTAGGTGTGTCTGGTTACTTTCCCTGCAGGAATTGTCCAGTAACTTCTTTCTGAGAGAGTAAGGTAGTTTTATTCTCTTTTGCAAGAAAAATGCGAAAAGTAAACAGACGGCATCCCTGCAGAAGCTTGCAACTAATCAGCTGATTTGTCAAAACAAACCAATTTGTCCGCCATTATAAAGAATTAAAAGAAAGAAAACACAACCAGTTTAACAAGTTTTTGAACAATTAGTCTTGCTAATTCCAAAAAAAATTATTTTCAAATTGAAAGCACAAAAATAAATAAACAAACAATAGAAAACATCTGATTGAATGTCGATGTATGAGAAGAAGAAGAGTTGCAAGAGATTGCAAGAAGAAATTTTTCCAGCAAGAATTTGCAAACTCTCACTGAAAGAACTGTCAAAATTTCTCTCTCCAACCGCTCTCTTTTGCAGAACTTTTGGGTTAACAGACGACTTCCAGTAACAATTTGTAACAATTGTTACAAACTTTAGGGTAACCAGACACACCTATTGATTGGTTACATTTTTTATTGATTTTAGTTTGGTGGTAGTGGTGGTCAGTGAAAAGTTAGGCAATTTTATACAGCGTTTTTGTTTTTTCTTTTTGTTATTATTGAAACTTCTCACTCGCGAGAAGGGGGGAATAGGGAAAGACGAAGAAGAATGGGATATGTGATATTTCGTAAAATCTTTTTTTATTTTTTTATACGTTTAATTTAGTTCAATTAAATTTAATTTATTTGCATATAATTTGTCATTGGAGCATATTGTATTAGATTTTGGCCGAATGGCTTTGCAATACAAAATAAAGAACAAATAAAAAAAAAACGCACACAAATTCTATAAATATATATTTTTTTTTAAACTGGAGGAGGTCCTCCTCCAGCTAGTCCACTTTCTATTAGAATAGAAGGTGAACGAGATTTTCTTATATTTTTCCTTTAGTTCGATAAATAAAACACGTGGCAAGTTAAGCGAAAGCTTAACAAAGCGCCATTTTGTAAGCTTTTAAGCACGTAGTCGTGATTAACTCTTAAAATGCGTCTTTCTTGTGAGCCGCCCGAATACGAACTGATAAATAATTTTTGTTTTCTTTTCATTTTTTATTTTTGAAATTGGCAACCGTTAAATAAAAAAAACAAACAGTTGCAAATTTTGGTACATTGTGACTAAGTTGTATTTTTTCGTAAAAAATCATGATTTAAAATAAACCCTGCCGCACCATGATTTAAATTTGTATACTAAGTCATGGTAATAAAAATCCTATTACAAAAATCACGATTCTGGTGCGATTTTCGTATGTTTGAGCAACATAATTTTCATAGTTGCATTTTAGAACATCCGATACTTGCGGTGTTGCCGGACTTTGGCATTTCCGAAAAGTCCCATAGATTTCCAACAGAGAAAGGAATTCTTGTGAATTATCCATTTACGCCGAAATACCGTTATCCAGAATAAGCTTGATAATTTAATCATTTTATAAATAAAACACCAATCCAATTATATTTTACAGTGTATTTTAAAGAACATCGAATAATAAAACATAATTTACAATCAGAATATTAGTGTTTGGGTGTGTGTTTTTTTATTTCATGTGTTATTGAAATTACATTTAAATTTGTTGTTGTCGTTTTTGTTGATCCAGTTTAATGCATGAGGTAAAGAGCTTCCGGTGAAGATAGAATGGGGGGATTAATAAACTATTTTGTATAACTACTTGTTGTTGTTGTGGCTCTATTTGAATATGTGTTTTGGGTATGATACGATTTTATGGTTAGTGTGTTATTATTTTTATTCTTTTCTTTTGTTTGTTTCAATTAAATTCTATTGTTAAATTGTTTGTTATATGCACTATTTGTTTAAATGAGAAACCGGTTATTTATTAAAAAAGAAAAACATTAAAAAAAGTGGTTTGCGTAAATCTGATGCAGATTGAATGGGAAATTTTGTTTTTGAATTGAAATTCGAATATATTAAGAAAATTTCTATTAAGATTTGTAATGGTCTTTTGGAAAATTGTAACAATGTTGTTGTTTTTTATTAAGGAAATATTCAAAACATATGGAAATGTTTACCATAGCCAAATATCGAATTCCATTTGTGAAAAATCAAAATGTCTAGTTAATAGAAATGTAAACAATATTAATCCTGAAAATAGTTTCTCTCTCTATGTGTGTCTTTTAAAATAATAAATTCCAGAAAGAAAAAAATAAAAATTAAAATAAATTCACAACATTAACCGAATAATATTTATTACAAAAAAATTATTTAACTCATAATTAATTACCTTCTTCTTCTTGTAACACTGAATGAAATGGGTGTATGCATGCGCCTGTCATCTTTTTATTTACTATTTATTTTTCTATTCGAATCCCATTAATACATTTAATAAATGTAAATCGAAATTATTTTATAGTTTGTTGTTGGTCCAATGCCAGAAAAGAAAATGCCATTTAATTTTGTTTTTATTTTAAATATGAAATGTATCAATTTCATTTGGTAACATTAAATCAATCATCATGTCTAACAAATTGATTGATTGATTGATATTGAGATGATCTTGTTGTGTTTTGATTTTGTACTGACGCGCGCTTGCTTGGTCTTGTTCGTTTTCTGTTAAGTAAAAGTAAACAACTATAGAGTAGCAAAGACAATTCATTTCATTTTACTTTTTTTATATTTAATAGAATGATTTTTTTGTTTGTCTGTATGTATAATAGGTTTTCTTTTTGTTGTTGTTGTAGAATATACATTATCATCAATGTAAAAATATTATATATAGTAGAAGAATTTTGTTTTGTTAAAAAAAAAATGTTGAAACATATGTTGCTTAATTAGACGACGCCGACGACAATTGAAGAAATCATAAGAATTTGTGTTGCATAGTTTTGGGAGGTTGTTTAACTAATCTAAGTGTGTGTTTGTTTGTTTCTAATATTGGCTAGGATCATTTGTTGCTGTTGTTGTTGTAATTGAACCCAGACACATATCTCCAAAAAGTTGATGTATATATATTATTTGTAGGTAGGAGTAGGATAAAAACTAAAGATGCAAAAACAAAGAATACGTCCATGTTTTTTTCTTTTAATTTTAAGCGGCAATCAGCTAAAACGATCAGGGAGAAAAAAGAAAAATTGAAAATTATTTATTGCCAATAGAATAGAAACAAAACAAAATACATACCGATTTGACTGTAGCTTTAATAAAGCCCTTTTTATCGGTTAAATCAAAATCGGGATATTTAGCATAGACTTGTTTGCACACGGTTTTCATGGTTATCTCTTCGAGATTGGCCTTATCTAGAATTTCTTTTACATAAGCACGAATTTGTTCGTCCTGTAAAAAGGGAAAAATAAATGAATTAAATAAAATTGATAAAAAAACATCTTCAAATTAATGTAAATTTTCAAACATCTCTACCATCTACCATAGGCCTAACATGTCACATACCCTATATATGGTCTTAATTACATACAAAAAATATTTTATTTATTTCAAGAAAATATAAACAAGTGTTGATTATTGTTGCAGCAACTTCACTGTTCACTCTTGGCCTATCAAACTCGAGATGATCAATAAAATACTAGTGACACTACGCTTCGACGACCAACTGCCTGAGAAGTCTCGCGACGTCACTACAGGTCATGTAGTTCCGATCCTCGCATATCAGCCGGTACCTCCTGTGGAGCAGCAGAGTCGCTGAGCGCCGTTGTAGGTTTCTGGGTTACCTGCTTCGAGACAGCGTGTTTGGTTTCCAACACACACTCACCGCTCTTGGCATGTTTCTCCTTCGACGCAACGACCGACGCAATCGAAGCAGAGATTTCGGGTATCTTTGCAGCAGATTTTTGTACCTCCGCTCCACTAGCAACTACCCAATTGTCACAATCACAGGGTGATTGCGTCTTATCGGTCTTCTTGGAGGCCTTTTTACGGCGTATCCTTCGGGCCGACTTCCACAGTCCCCTACCTTCCGTCTTTGTGCATGCTGGGTCTGGGACGTCTAAGTACTCAGTTTACCCTTGGGGGGTGCTGAGGGCTTACAAATCTCAGACATCAGCTTCCTAGGTGTATTAGAACCTCCGACAAGTTTCTCCTTCTTTGAAGGGACTACCGTGGTGGTCTTCGTACTGGGCCGGGGATCCTTTCAATCAAGTCCCTCTCAATATCATTCGGATAGTTCCTGGAGAATTTCCGAAAGATTTTGAGATTCCCCTTGATTAAAAGGTACTCCTTTCCCGTGATTGAGTCGCTGTCCCGTCCGATGAATCGGTTATAGTAGTTAACTGCTCTCCGGTACATCGTCTTGGCAGCGACCTCCATGCCATCGACTTGCCTAGCAGTTACTCGTACTGATGAATCATCCATCTTATCGACGGGAGTCTCATCAGTACCAGTATCCGCTTCGACAGCCAACTGCCTGAGAAGTCTCGAGACGTCACTACAGGCCATGGAGATGGGAGTTCGGATCATCAACCTCCCCTCTCATCAGCTGAGAGGACTCACCTTGCTTCGGAGGAGTTAAAAGGATAGCTACTGTGTTCGTTACCGTAAACGTCTCCGTGGTACTAATCACTGTAGTTTCCATGATGTCTTCCACGTCTGACAAGAGTGAATCATCCCAGAGTTGATTCCGGATCCTCTCCTGACTATGGCGGAAATAGCCGGATTCCTCTAATAAATTGGGGAGAGGATCAGTCTGACTCTTCAGGCTTTCGATCACGTCGTCGAGAGTAACAGGACCTGTGGCAAAAGAATGGTCCAGGGGAGTAGCTTGGGTCGTCAACACGTTGGGGGAGTTCATTGAAGTTTGACTTTGTAGAGTTCGAGACTGAGGGTGCCAAGGCAGCCACAACAGCATCAATCGAAAAATCGCATTCCATATTGTTTTTGTTTTTTGAAATGGGGGTGGTTTTTAAAATTCGGCTCCATAGAGGATTGAGGTCGACCATGGCATACCCACTTACCATGGCAAGGACTCGGCAACTAAGCCTGAATGAACTTGTTGAGGCGCCCAGGTATCAACAAGGCTCCGTTCTATTACATTGGGGACCCTGACTACAAACCGCAGAACACTGATGGCCACGCAGGACACCCCACCGTTAGGGGGTCACTTTAAGAGGTAGTGACCCAGACCTTTGAGATTAATATTTAGGGGCGCCATTCTCGCCTCGTCAGTTCAGTTATTAACTCCCTGCACCGCAACTTTATTCCTTTTGTTCTTCTTTACCATCGTAGTAAATTAATTTAAGGACACTACCCCGATCCATTTTGGTCCACGGAGGATCCGATGATCCCCAAGCTTTCCACGAAGTGTAGAGAAAAGTTGACCTAGGTGAGTTTCACCCTGCACGTCATGGAGACCCGCTTCCCATCCGCCAACCTGGAAGACGCGCCTAGTAGATTGGCAACTCATCGAGGCTTTAAACAGAAACCTTCTAAAAAAAAGTGTAGCTCAAGCGAGATAGGTCTGTGCTGCGCAAAGTGATACGATCTGTGTTAACTTTCTTTTCTGGATCGTAACGACTATAGTTCTTCTTCGACTCATAAACTCTACAAATATATGATCAGTGATCAGACCATCGCAGTTAAATTGGGGCTTTCGTAACGATCATAGATCTTCTTCGACTCATAAACTCTACAATTTCACTGATCTTGTTGCGGAGACTATGGCACAATGTCGTTGTTTTTGCTAACAATCCTAGTTTGACCCTAAAAAAAGTTAAATCTGCTTCAAAAAAGTTATATCATACCGTGGGGAATGCAGCTTTGCCCTTTTTGTTTAGTGGTTCATCTTCATCACTGACATCCTTTTCATCTTCGGAGGATTCTTTCTTGGCTTTTTTAGGACGACCAGCGGCTAAAATTTGTAATGAAGAAAAAGTAAACCTTTATTTTGTCAGCACTATAAAACTATTACGCCATTACTTACATTTGGGAGGTGTTTTGTTATTAGCGGCAGCTTTAGTATTTTTCGCAGGCGTTACTGGTTTCTTGCTCTTTTTAGTTTTTTCTTCGTCCTAAAAAAATAAACCCAATAAACAAGAATTAAAATAAATTAAAAAAATTTGAATTAGACTCTACAAAACCTACCGCACTTTGATCACTACCCAATTCGGACATTTCCTCTTCTTCTTCGTCTTCAGACATTTCTTCTTCCTCACTTTCGGAATCTTTGCGTTTACGTTTAGATTTGTTAGCTGCACTGGCACGGCCACGACCACGTCCACCAGCAGCAGGGCGACCACGTTTGCCAGTACCAGTTGATCCACGTTTACGTTTGGGTACCTATTTTGAAAAATAAATTATTTTTTGCACATTTTTAATTACAACAAAAACCTACATCACTTTCGGCATCTGAAACCTCTGATTCTTCTTCAGAATCTGAATTTCTTCTGCGTGCCTTACGAGCAGGTCTACCACGACCACCCCTTGTAGCAGCAGCTCTACGTTTACCACCATCAGAATCCGAATTACCAGATGGATTATACTACAAAGTATAATAAAATATTTCTATTGTATATATATTCGGAAAAAGTGATATTTTTTATTAACTTACATCGGATCCCGATTCAGAATCATCATGTCGTCTCCGTTTAGATGGTAAAACTTTGCGTGTAGTTTCTTCTTCTGAACTTGAAAAGTCGACATATGCAGATGTTTCTAGGAAAAAAAATGGATTTATTAATAAAAAAATGTTTTCCGCCTTCGGGGAGCAGAGCTGAATGCTAACGGACGCGTCCACAGGTTGCGGATATTGGGAAGCCCAATATTATTAATTGGGTAGCTGTCAATAACAAATAAACATTCGCGGACAATCAGCGGGCTCAGGGGGAGTCTCGGAGGAAATGACCGAGTGCCTGTGATCCCTGGGCCGACGAGGCGAGAATGGAGCCCCGAAACAAAAACAAATTAGTATGCTATTTTTCGACTGAAGCTGGTGTGACCGAGGGTGTCAGTCTCACAAGGCCAGATCTCAATGAACCCCCTCAAGTGTTGACGACACAAGCTACCAACTATAGTGTATCCTCCGAAGTAAGGTGAGTTCTCCTACCATGGCGAGGTTGAAGATCTGCACACAATCTCCACGGCTTGTAGTTTATGTCGTGAGATTACTCAGGCAGTTGGCTGTCGAAACGGATACTGGTACGATGATACACCCGTCGGTAAGATGGATTCATCAGTACCAGTAACTGCTAGGCAAGTCGATGCCAAGGAGAGGTACCGGAGAGAAGTTAACTACTGTAACCGATTCATCGGACGGGACAGCGATTCCATCACGGGAAAGGAGTTCCTTTTAATCAAGAGGCACCTCTCAAATTTATTGAGAGGGACTTCTTGATTGAAAGGATCCCCCGACCCAGTACTACGACCACCACGGTAGACCCTTCAAAGGAGAAGAAACCTGTCAGGGGTTCTAGTACACCTAGGAAGCTGATGCCTGAGACTTCTAAGCCCTCAGCACCCCCAAGGGTAAACTGAGTACTGATTCCATCACGGAAAAGGAGTTCCTTTTAATCAAGAGGCACCCCTCAAATTTATTGAGATAGACTTCTTGATTGAAAGGATCCCCCGACCCAGTACTAAGACCACCACGGTAGACCCTTCAAAGGAGGAGAAACCTGTCAGGGGTTCTAGTACACCTAGGAAGCTGATGCCTGAGACTTCTAAGCCCTCAGCACCCCCAAGGGTAAACTGAGTACTGACACCAGCATCCACAAAGACGGAAGGTAGGGGACAGTCAAAGTGGGCCCGAAGATGAAAGGCCTCCAGGAAGACCGATAAGGCACAACCACCCTCAGTCGAATTGCCAAAGCCCATACCCAAGGCTGTGACAATTGAGCAGTTGCTTTTGGATGCGCCGAAGGTAGCGAGCACGAAGCAGGTGCCTGCGGCGTTTGCAAAACCGGGTGACAAATCTCGTCCACAGCCCACAGCTGTCAAGAGAATGAGGTCCTCGAAGGAACAACAACCTGCTCCAAAGACTTGCCCAAAATATCGAACGTAGTGTTCAACTTTGTATAGGGAGAAAAGCCAAAAAGTTACCCGTAACCTCCCGTTTTCAATACCAAACATCCTAGGTGTCGTAGCAAGGCATGAGCAAAAATTTCAAAGTTCCATCTTAAATTTTGCAAGATCTAGGATATAAAATAACTTACTTTTGCCCACTGTAGCTCTACGTGGACGTCCCGAGGTTGAACGACCACCACTAGCACCACCACCAGATCTTGATTTACTTTTGTGTTTTTCTTCTTCGCTAACTTCTTCCTCCTCTTCTTCGCCAACTTCATCATCATCGTCTTCTTCGGCATCTTCATCCTCGGCTGGTTCGACACACAGGGATTCATCAGGTTCCATAAGGAAATTTAGTACACGATTTGCAATATCATCTTTAGAACCTGAAGAGTAAAGAAAAGTAACATCGATAAATTAATTTCTAAAAATCTAAATAAATTCCCATACCTTTACGTTCCAGTGACAAAATCTCCGCTATACTTTTTAATGCTTTCAATTCAATTTTTTTTATGGAATCGAATTTCTTTTTATATTCCGTTGAATCCTTTTCAAATTCAAAGCCAGCAAATGAGCGTAAATTCTTCTTAACAACATTATTTTTTCCTTGGGAACCAAAGCAGATCTATTAAACAACAACAACAAATATTAAAAATGTCACAAAATATTATTAAAGAAGTATCATCTATTTACCGCATGCAATGTCTGGAGACCATCCACTCTGGTTTTATTGATATTCTCATTGATTTTATCAATTTCAGCTAAAGCAACAACATTTTCATCATCGTCCACACCATCATCATCAGCCGCTTCGCCATCAGCCTCCTTGTCATCTTTCGAATCCTTATCATTATTTTCTGTTGCTTCCTTTTTGTCGGCACTGCCATTCTTTTCGGCATCGGCGGCATCTTTATCCTTTTTAATATCATTTGATTTCTTGTCATCGTCAGCAGCTGTGGGCGGCGAGGATGCTTCTTTATCATTGGTGGCTTTTTTCGAATCTGTTACATCGTCTGATTTATCTGCAAAACAAACAAAAAAATTAATTAGTAAATTATTTCAAAATTATTTAGAAATTTCAAAAGAAAAAAAAAATATATTTTAAATTATCTTCACCCTTGGGAAGTCTAACAGTGTCATATTATGGACACGAGATAGACTATGAAATAATGAATGATTGCTATACCTTGGATCTTACTGAACTTAACCCAACAAATTAAGATTAAGCATGAACAAATAACCAAGGTGATTTTTTATTATTAAAGTGTTACTCTTATTTTACTACTATGTCAAAGAAAAACCTCAAGATTTGCCAGAGTGGGATTCGAACCGTCGAACACACAGAAATACGAGTGCGAACAAACAAGTTCATGTGTCGGCATGCTAGCCGCCTGATCCACAGCCATGCTAGGCATTTGCCGGTAAAAAATTAAAAATAGTTTGATGACTTGTTTGCTCTCTATCTCACTCTATCGCTCTCTCTTTCTCATTTCGTTTGTTTTCTTTCCCTCTATTGTTGTTTTTCTCTTAATAGGGTTGCCAAGAGTAAAAAATTGAATAAGAATTTGTTCTAATTGGACGAAAATTAAATTGGGGTATTTAAGTGAGAACGTTGGGTGTTCTAATTCTAATAAGACAATGAAGCTTCTTTCTCGTATTTTAAAAAATATATGGAGATATAATAGTATGTTTACATTGTACCGGAAATCCTATAGATCTAAATTGTCGATTCCATTACATATATGTCAAAAAATCTCATAGATGAGGTTAATCGGGTAATAAGTTCTAATGTAAATACCGTTTAATATTCAAATTAAAAATTGTTTTAATTAAAATGTTGAAATTTCAAAAATAATTATTTTGGAAACTGTAATAGTTGTTTAAAAAAAAGAGTAGTTTTAAGAATTATTTTTAGACATTTGGTCTGTTCCCGAACTGTAAGAATCTACTACTTTTTACTACGATAACGAATTTTCCTTTATGATATCGAAGAAAATAGTAAAATCGAGTAGAATCCTTCAGTACGGGAACAGACCAATTATTTAGGAAAATACTCGCATGGGTATATCTTGTCATGTTATTTGCAAAATCTCGAAATATTTGTTGGGAGCCCTGACCATGATTGAATGTGTAATGGTTTTAGCCGCATTTTCCATCCGAAGTGGTTGAATTTTTATATTCTAAGTTCTTAGAGGATGGAAAACACAATCATATATAAAATGGAACGGATCCATTTTCAATATTTTGAAGGCTCTAGCTAGTTTTACATAATCATTTAGTGGGAATCTTCAGATTTATCAGAGTCCCAATATATATTCTATATGTTGAAGGTCCGGTTCTAGCCAACATTTCTGGTTTCTCGGAGGAGGTTAAAAACTTCTATGCCTTCTATGGATTTTTAGTTTTAGAATCATAAAGAAGAATCTGCAGATTTTTTGTGGGTAAAACCTACTTTGCAGAATAAATATAAAGGGTCCCAACTAGGTTTTCTGTATGTTGAAGGTCCGATTCTAGCCGAAATTACAGGTTTCTCGGAGGAGGATAAAAACTTCTATGCCTAAAATCTTCAATGAAGTAACCATATATTCCATATTTTAGACGAATTTGCCATTTTCTCAGAGTATAAAAATGAAACCCCTAGAAGGTCAAAGGTATTATTGCGGATCTTATGGATCGAACCAAACAGAAGATGAACTAAATATGAACGGTATTTTAAAACAGTTTTAAAATTAACACCTTTTACTGAGCCTTTTATGTAGTGTCATTCATTCGTTTTATACTTCGTATGGATTTGCGGACATTAGATATTACTTTCCGGAATCTGGCAATTAACATATTGAAGTGTAGAAGCATCCAAATCAATACTAATCATTCATAAGGGGGAAACATATGAGGATTCAGGTCTGCCCTGTTAAGTCAAGCTTGAATTTGGATGCCGTTATCCCTGCTGGTTTTATTGTAGGTCTAAGGGAAAAGTTGTCATTGAACTTTTCCCATTTCGTCTTTCCGAAATTCCAACGAAGCAGAACTTCGTGCGTCCAACAACTGCGTGGTTCTCTTAGCAGTAGGTTGTTGCTCGCCCGAGGACCTTATTCTCTTCACAACCGTGGCCAGCTGTCGCGAGCACCTGTCACCTTTTGTTTATGCATCAGCAACTGCCCAATTGTCACAATCTTGGATTTGGGTTTCGATATTTCGGCAGAGGGAGGTTGTGCCTTATTAGCTTTCCGGGAGACCTTTTTACGGGCTCTACGTCTCCGTTCTACGTGGTACGTACGTGGTCTCCGTCGACATTCCCTTACCCTCTGTTGTTTGGATGATGATGTCAGTGATTTCTCAGAACTGAAGTTTCCCATGGTTGGAGCTGAAGGCTCAGAAGTCCTGGCCACCATAGTCCTAGCTGTGCTCGGGCCACTCACGGTTTCCTCCTCTTATGAAGGGGCTACCGCGGTGGACTTCGCACGAGAAGCTGGAATTCTATTAATTAAGAAAAACCACACAACATTGTTCGGATAGTTCCTGGAGATTAAAATTCGGCTCCATAGAATAAGGATTTTGTGAGGATTTGAGGTTCGGCCATGGCATAGCCTTATACCATAGCAAAGACTCGGCAACTAAGCCTGAAAGAACTTGTAGAGGCCCACAGGTATCAATAAGACTCCATTCTAATATAGTCTGGACCCTGACTGCAAACCGTAGAGCCACCATCGGCCTAGCAACAAAGCCTGAAAGAACATGTTGAGGCGCCCAGGTATCAACTAGACTACATTCTAATATAGTCTGGACCCTGACTGCAAACCGTAGAGCAATGATAGGCACGAGGTCGCTTGACACCCCAGCGTTAGGGAGGTCACTTTGAAAGGTAGTGACCTTAGACCTTTGAAGTGTATAATTGAAAAGCGCCATTCTCTCCTCGGCAGCCCTGGGCCCGCAGGGCCCGCGCTGATTGTCCGCAATTGTTTAATTGATATTCACAGCTACCAGAAGAATATTATTGGGCTTTCCATTATCCGTAACCTGTGGAACCTGTAAGACTTCCGCTTTACTCTATTTGTAGAAATCGGGCAGAATATTATCATTCGATTTAAAAAGGTGCATTTGTCTGATACCCTCCAGCAGTTCCTAACCACAAAGCTTTTTTTCTTTTGTACTATAAATTCGTTCATATACAACCAATTAGGCCTTTAAAGCAAATGGCGAAAAACTGGATAGATCAGAACAAGATGTGGTATACCTCCTGTACAATGGGTCTTGAAAAATTCGCTTTTTTGGCCTATCAAGTTTCATATTTATGTTAAATGGAATTTTTTCTATACATTATCATCAATAAATTTGCACTCCGTTGCACCATGTTTGGCTGCGGTCGCGACACTGTGCAAAGGTGGCGCAACAAAATATTGGAGATTCATATCTCAGCAAGTTTGAACTGAAGAAAAAGCAATTATATCGTTGTAAACAGGACCTCTATTTTTACATATATGAACATTTTCAAAACGATAAGCTAGCGAGCTTTAAACTAAACATAGGCTTTATGCTATGTATGTCAGAAAAATTATCTGCCTTCTTTTTGCTATATGGTGGCAATCTCATACAATTAACATCTTTCTGTTTTGCCTATGAAATACATATATAGGACAACTGGACATTAAACGAAACTACCAGAAACTACGAGATATTTAACGAATTTCCAAATAATTTACTGTACAAAATTCAATGTTTTTAAACTCCAAAATACATTGCACAAATAAAATAAAAATTTTGCGCCATTTTAATCTGCAATAATCCTAATAATAATCACCTAATTAATGATGGGTGGGGGGGCTATTAAGTGACTTACCTTCCTCCTCCTTTTTCGGTTTCTTATCGCTATCATCATTGTTTTGTGCACCTGTGTCATTTTTAGTTGTTTTTTCGTCAGTTGTAGCTGCTGCTGTTGGGGCTGCCGTTTCGGCCGTTGATTTGTCACTCTCTTCATTGCTGGACTTCTTATCGTTTTCAGCTGGTTTTTCATCGGCAGCATCCATTGCTGTTGCTGCTTTGCTAGTTTCCTCACTTTTATTTTCCTTTTCCTATAATAATACAAATAATTAATTTCTTTTTTCGTTTTTTTTTAACTATAACTGGAAACATGAAAACAGTTTTTCTATTTCTTTTCTTTTTGTTGTGTTATTCTCTATTTTTGTGCAAAACATTCAAATGCAACACTGATTATTTTCCTCTTTTTATATTTTTGACATATCACTTTGGGAGCATGATGTACAGACGACAACGGGAAGTACTACTATAGCCTGCTATGCTCACCAGCCCGCTCTTTATTGTGTTGTTTTTGATTGGTTTTGCTTTTTGCCGATATTCTGCGCATGCAATTTCAAATTCCTATAAGTATCAAAGAATCAACAGACAAGTGTATACAAATAAGGGGGTTGACGCGGGGCGGCGAGTAGTGCAGCACTAGGGAAATTCCAATTCCTGCTGATCGCAACTGTACGGAATCACCAAATTTTATTTGGCAACACTGACACGCATGCAAATCTCCAACAGATTCCAAATTATTCGCGAAAACAAGCAAAACGCGCACTTTTATTTTCCTTATTTTTTAATCCAACTAATACCGCCCGCCGCTATACAAACATACGAACACACACACACGTTTCTATGCACACCTATACACTGACATATTGAACGTTTGTTTGCCTGCTTGCATTCATTGGTTCACTCACTAGCTGCTTCTGCTGCTGCTATGATGAATAGAAAAAATCAAAAAAAAAAGAACGCACAGAAATCAAAACACAAAGTAGGAAAAGTGGACCCGACGCCATGTTTATATACAAAAAATGGTAGAAAGAGATGAAAAAAGAAAGCAGAAGATGAGGAGGAAAAACGAATTGCGGACGTTGTCGTTGTGTAAATTGCTTGTTGGTCGGTTCCTTCTCATCTCTCTATGACGCGCTCGATTTTTAGATACCGTTTTTCCCACAATATTTCATCGGATTTTACACAATTTCTATTTGCACTTGTAGAATACAGTTTCGTCGTTCATTCTATGTAGTTTTTTTGCATTTACATACCATATTTTCAACGGATTTATCTTTTTCGCCGTCCGACATTATTTTGTTAACAGAAAAAAGCACGACCGATTAGAGAACAATGTCGACTGGGTGTTATAGGCGGCGTTAATGTATTCTGTGTGTTGTGAACGGCGTTAAGTTTAGATTGGCGTTTTTAAAGAATTTAAGGGGGTTCACATTGTGAGATGTGGATTATAAATGCTCACAACAAATTTTGATTTCCGTTATTCGAAATGCATTTACAGCCTGTTTTGTAAAATTCTAAACGAACGAGTTCGAGTGACTTACAACCAAACCTTTGTTTATGTAAACAAATATTTTTGATTCAAAACAAAAATAAATGACATATTTTTCAAAACCAAGGAGTTTGGTCGTAAGTCACTCAAATTCGTTCGTTTAGAATTTTACAAAAACAGGCTGTTAAACGATAATTAAACTCCTTGTACCATGGTATAATAATAAAAGGTAACAGCAAGTGTTGTTGTACAAAAAACGATACAACAACCACATGGAAATTTGTTGTTGTAAGTTCTACTAGTGTCAACTCATTTGACAGAAAAATGTAAACAAACAAACAAATTATCATCAAATTTTTTTTATTTTGAAAATGAACTATTTTCGAATCCTCAAAATAAAAATTGAAAAACAAGAATGAAAATCTATCAAATTTATATTTCTATCGCTTCCACATCTTTCCTATAATTGAGCCATTGTCATATATATGTGTAACACATATGGCAATGCTGGGAATAGCGAGTAATTCCTTCAAGAAAGATTTGCTTCCTCAAACTTTCCCAGTAGGCAGATTGAGTAAATTGAATACGGGAGTACATTAATAAAGAACAATTTCAAATTGTATGCGTTCCCAATTTTCCTGTTGGGTGATTTTTAAAAACATAATTTGTCAAATTTATATTGACACTAGTATTACTTTGGAATCAAATCAGCTGGGATTTGCTGTTACCTTTTATAATTGTACCATGTCCTTGTACATTAGAACTTTTTACCGGGTTAACCTACTTTATGAGGATTTATTTGATATATATGCAAAGGAAATGACAATTGAAACCCACTGGGTTAATGAAATCCGGTTAAATGTAAATGTACTATTACATTAGAACATTTTACCAGGTTAACCTCCTCTAGGGAGAATTTCTTTGGCATATATACACAATGGAATTGACGATATAGATCTACTGGAATTTAAAAAGTTCAAAACAATGTAAATGTACTACTATGTACAAGATTTGTATTTACCGGTAATCAAAAAGAGATAAAACGTTTTAAAATGTATAGAAAAAATATCAAAATAAAAAGAATTTAATAGGAAAATTTTGCTGGTTCGGTTCAAAACACTAGTTAGAAAATATCAGTCGACGTTTTCGATATATACAGGTAATTCCACTTGAATTTACTTGCTTCTTTTCCTTCGACTTGAAGGACAAAATAAAGGAGAAGGAGCGTATCATAAAATAAATTGGCATTTTAAGAAATTGCATCAAAACAATAAACAACTGTTTCACATGCCATAGTGTATGTTGCTATATTTTCAAACTTTAATTTATTTTCTCTTAATTACATTGCAGTTTTACAGCGGACTCTTAATAGTTCATATTTGTATTGTTATAAAGTTTTAATAACAATAAAAAGTAACAATATTTTCAAAAAAAACAATAAATAAAATAATGAAAAATATTACAAAATTAAATTACAATTCGGCAACACATATTACAACTTAAATTACAATATGGCAACACGAATTTTTTTTTTTCAACCACCCTTTTCGAAAATTCGAATCCGCATCTCGTATTTTTTTGCTTCTCTTTATTCATTCAGAACAAGGCGAGAATGTGATAGCGAAAATTTTTTTTACATGGGAGATATCTCCCTAGCGAATATTCAGAATAAGTTCTTACTTACTTGATTTTGAACGCCGTTCCACTTTATTCTTATACAATAAAATAATCCACCTAAACAGGCCAAGCCTGAAGTCCTCTTATGTGTTTCCGCCCTTATTATCCCAATTCCATAGTTTGTAGGTGAGAAAGCTGAGGGGAATGGCAACCATTTACTTCTCTCGCCCACAAACTATCATTGCAGCAAGTACAATTGCCTAGTGTAATTTTAGTTTAACCCATGTACAATAAAACAAGGAAGGACAAATTAAGTTGAGAAACAAAAAAATCAACTCTGTAGGTAGTTGCTTCTTCTGTTAAACGTAATAATAAACACATAATACATAACTAAAATGCTATTAGTTAATGAAGGGTTATGATTTTTTTCCCAAAATCTAGTACAAGATAGGACAACTTGAGGTGAACAAAAAAAAAAAAACAATTCTGTGTGTTAACCATACAATAATACAAGGTAGGGCAGCTTGAGGTGAATAAAGTGGACCACACACGTCAAACATGTGCGTTCGATCGGTGTGAATCGAAGCAATGTTTGACGTGCGTGGTACGGTGTTCATACCGATTTGCCGGTGCGCACACCGATCGAAAGAAATTAAAAAATTTTAATATTTCGTTGTGCGACGCGCACATTTTTGACGTCTGTAGCCTGGTGTGTGGATATTTTCTCATTTGTTGCGAAATTTCGTGGAGTGCGGATCAGCGGACAATGTCAAACATATGCAAAAAAAAAAAGTTTTGGAAGATTTTTTGATATTTTTACACATATTCTACAGTGTGGCAAATAAAACTATTTTTCCCGGAATAAAATAAAAGTATTTAATAAATTTATATCAAATAAAAATATTAGGTCTTTTTTCCGTCATCACTATCGGTGTCCATCTTAACGCTTCAAAAATAAATACGAAATGAAGTTTTGTGGATCCGTTTGACGTGTGTGGGCTAGGAGCTTCACACCGATCGAACGCACAAGTTTGACGTGTGTGGCCCACTTAACAAAAAATCAACTATGCATCTGTGGCTTCTCAAATTACAGGTGAATAGTTTGAAAATGGTGGCCAAAGGTCACAAAATATTGAATATTGGGGGTATCCATGTGGATTTTTGTTTTGGTTCTAGGTCAATTGAAAAATCATATCATTTTTGATTTATGTAAAACGACCCACCAGGAAAATTTTGAACACATTAGATGTGAAATAAAAAATACGATAATACAATTTGAGCTGTACAATATATAGGGAACCAGAAAAAATTACAACAGGCATGACAATTTCAATTATATTAATTTAAAAGACTACTAATCGCACGTTAACAATTTTACTTTTTCAAAACAAAGAAATCGCAAAAGAAGTTCGTTGCCCTCTGATTCACAATTTACTTCAATTTCCTAATGGGAAAATGTGAAGCAGCAAATCCTTTTGCAACAAAAAAATCCTATTTTCAACGCTATTTTTAGCGTTTTTTATGAGTTACCTCTACATGTGGACATGACTATATTGGAGGAATGATCTGGAAGAATTATGGGTGTAAATGTAGCATAAATCTTGAAAATTAGTTGAGACGCATCCATTTTATACTTCACTTAATAATAATCCGTTTACAGTTACGATACGTCACCACTAATTATGTTGCCGGCATAGCGTGCGTTGTTTTGCAAAATTGGCTTTGCGAATTGCATTTGTTTGATTTTGCATTCCTGGCGCAACTGTTGAAAGGATTCAAAGTTATAATTTTACGAGGATTCAATTAAAATTAGTTCAATTTTCTAGCATCTTGTTTAATTTGAAAATAAATCCCCAGCCGCCGCCATGGGAATTCTAGGCCTCTCCAAGTTAATTGCCGATGTCTGTCCGCAAGCCATCAAGGAGAGTGACATCAAAAATTACTTTGGCCGAAAGGTAGCCATTGACGCCTCTATGTGTCTGTATCAGTTCCTGATTGCTGTACGTGCCGAGGGTGCCCAGCTAACATCTGTCGATGGTGAAACGACATCCCATTTAATGGGCATGTTCTATCGTACCATACGTTTGCTCGACAATGGTATTAAACCGGTTTATGTTTTTGATGGAAAACCACCAGATCTGAAATCGGGTGAATTGGCCAAACGTGCTGAGAGGCGTGAGGAGGCCCAGAAAGCTTTGCAGGCTGCCACCGAAGCTGGTAATGAGGCGGATATGGATAAATTCAATAGGCGTTTGGTGCGTGTAACCAAAGATCACGCAAATGAAGCTAAAGAACTGCTGAAGTTAATGGGGGTGCCATATGTTGAGGCACCCTGCGAAGCTGAGGCACAATGTGCCGCCTTGGTTAAGGCGGGAAAAGTGTATGCTACAGCCACGGAGGATATGGATGCTTTGACATTCGGTTCCACAGTACTTTTACGTCATTTGACATTTAGTGAGGCCAGAAAAATGCCGGTCAAGGAATTCCATTATAGTAAAATATTGGAAGGATTTGGTTTGACTAGCAAGGAATTTATTGATTTGTGTATATTGTTGGGATGCGATTATTCGGATAGTATTAAAGGTATTGGCCCAAAGCGGGCTGTCGAATTAATTGATAGCTATCGCGATATTGAAACTATTCTGGAAAATATTGATCGCCAAAAGTATACTGTGCCGGAGGATTGGAATTATCAAGTGGCCAGGGAATTGTTTATTAATCCTGAAGTTGCCGATCCAGCTGAAATTGAGGTAGGTTAAAGATTTTCTATTTTATTTTGCAATGGGTTTTAACTTTTTCTATTTCAGCTTAAATGGACCGAACCCGATGAGGAGGGCCTTGTAAAATATTTATGCGGTGATCGCCAATTCAATGAAGATCGTGTTCGTTCAGGTGCCAAGAAAATCCTCAAGTCAAAACAATCACAAACCCAAGGTCGTTTGGATAGTTTCTTTAAGGTCTTACCATCGACGGGCGGAACACCTAAACGCAAAGCTGTCGATGACAAGAAGACGGCTCAACAGAAAAAGGCCAAAGGTGCTGCTGGTGGAGCAAAAGGTGGCAGACGTCCTCGATAAGAATTACCGATTTTTATACACATTTTTTTGGTTAAGGTTCAATTGAAAATCTCTTCAGCTTTTTTAATAGTATTTGCCGATTTTCGATAGTAAGATCGTTCAAAATATTGTTCAAATACCGTGTAAAATACCATGTATTTTCAACAGGATCATGGTGGAGATTGTAAGATTCACTTAATTCAATCCTACCAGAATCTCCATTTGAAATAGTATAGAATTGCTATAGCGTTACCATTTATGTTAAGTTTTCCCCGGATGTCTGTCATTCCACGTGTTTTCAAATTGCATTGTTGAAAGAAATAAATTTAAATATTCTCAATTCACTTGAGGTTAATAGATGTCTGAAATTTTACTGATGAACTAAGGAGGCCTTTATATCAATTTGTTTGAAGAGATTTTGAGATTTTGGCGAAAATTTGAGAAGAGATGGAGAAAATTTAAAAGGACTTTACGTAAGTGATATACGGACGAATACCTCGAAGAACCCAAAGTCAGAAGATTTCCTTCGCGGACTAAACCAGGAAAGGCAGTGTCATAGAACAGTGTTGGTATGTTCTCGAGAACCCTTTCTTCCGGTTAAGTTTGATAAGTTGCACAATAATAGGTCCAAACCTCGTAGAGTAAAACAAACAAACTCTTCAACCTGTATCTTTCCACAACCGCAGGGCGGCATAGAAATCAAATGTATCCGGTTGGTCGTACGATCATGGCGTCGGGTCCTATTATTGATGGCATATTTAAAATAGAAAAACATCTACATAGCTGAGGAATATAAAAAAATATCACATAAGGTGAAAGCAAGGAATAAAGTTCTGAAAACTTTGGCTGGCACCTCCTGGGGCAAGGATAAAGAAACTTTGGTAATGACATACAAGACCATTGGTTGTTTCATCCCTAATTTTTCTGCCCCACTATAGAGGAATAAGTCTCCTTCCCAACGCATATAAAGTGCTATCCAGCGTACTGTGTGAACGACAGAAGCCAATGGTCAATGACATCATTGGCTTCACGCCTGGCAATTCCACCATTGACCAGATTTTCACACTGCGTCCTGGAAAAGACCCACGAAAAACACATCGACACATTTCAACATATTCGTCGACTATAAATCCGTATTCGATAGCCCTATACGTTAAGGGGTGTTTTAATGAGTGCGTTCGGGATTCCTGCAAAATTAGTACGGCTATGCAGGATAACTTTAACTGGCACAAAGTCAGTAGTTAAAGTCGGAGAGAACCTATCGGAGCCCTTTAATAACCAACGAAGATTTAGACAAGGTAGCAGTTTGTCGTGTGAACTTTTTAACGTCCTGTTGGAAAATGTCATACGAGGGGCAAACAGAAATGACACTCTATATACCAAACAATACATGTTACTCGCCTACGCTGATGTCATCGACATAATGGGTCGAACATTGAATGCGGTAACAGCCACCTTTGAAAAAATGAGAAGGAGGTCTGCCAAAGAGGAGCTGGCAGTAAATGGCGAGAAGACCAAGCTGATGATATCAACACGCAAGACGTCCAAAGATTTTATATATTTTGGTACCGCCATAAGTAACACTAATGACATCAGTTTTGAAATTGGGTGGAGAATAGTGTTGGCCAACAGATTCTACTATTGTCTAAGTAAACAATTCAGAAACAAGGCCACCTCTCGCCGGACCGTATTGTTATATGGATCTGAAGCATGGGTTCATACGCAAGCAGATGAGGCAGCTCTTGTGGTGTTTGAGAGAAACATTTTCCGAAAGATCTATGGGCCGATCTGCGTTGACGGTGAATAACACCATATATTCTTGGACATCGACATAGACGTATCGAGCTGCAGCATCGACTCCATTGGCTAGGTCATGTTGTGAGAATTGATGAGGATGCCCCAACTCAAAAGGCATATAAAAGCGAGCCAACTGAGAAGAGGAAGGTCACGAAGACCAGGGGGGTTACTCTGTATTGCGTTGCGAAAGCCAGTGCGATGCGAAAGCTAAATGCGTTAAGAGTGCAATTTGGTACTCTGTATCGCTCACGCAAACGCATTCGCAAAATAAATCCAAAATAGGGCAACACTGGCACCACAAAGTAAACAATAACGAAAAATGACAAAAGGAAACGTCAAAAAATTGTAAATAAAAACATATATTTATGTGGTACGAGTGTTTTTTTTAACATTAAACATTTAAAAACATATTTTTATGTGGTACGAGTGTTTTTTTTAAACAAAAATGACGAACCAACTAAAAAAAAAGAATTTTAAGAGAAAATAAAAGTACGAATGATGTGTCGAACGTTTTCAAATATTTAATTTTTATAAATTTGTACAAAATGTTCGTCTCAATAGAGATGCGTTTATGTTTTTAATAAACGCTATTAAAAATGACCTCGTCGTTCCAAATAGATCCACAGCAATTCCAAATCCAATAAAAGTGGACGTTGAAATTGCTTGGACAAGGTGGTTATCAACACCAACCTGTAAATATGCACACATAGTTTCACATTTTATATATAAAATATAAAACATTACTTTTTCCCAACCAGCGACATCTCTTACAGGAGGTCCATCTGAATTAAGGTCATCATCCAGTTTTCTCTACAATTTGTTGGCGCGTCGTTTCGCATTTGAACTCTACAACTGGCCCCTTGCCAAATCGCTGTGTTGCACCATAAAATCTACTAAAGTTTGGAACTGACGGTGCTGAGTCGTCAACTGTAACTTTTTTTGGCTTTCACCCAAAATAATTATCAATTTAGATGTAAATAAAAACTTTAATTGTTCTTATTTACATGTTTCGCTTCATTTGCGTTTGCTATTTTGTCAACGCAAGATATTTGCGTTTAACGAACGAGTTTGACATGCGTTTTCGTATTACAGATTGCGGTGATGCCACATTTGCGTAAAGTAGATGCGAAAGGAGATACGAAAACGAATTAGAGAGTACCAATTACGCGATGCGATACAATTTTTCTTACGCATCGCAATACAGAGTAACCCCCCAGTTGGCTTTATAATAATTCATGAATGTATGCTGGTGGGACTCCACGAAATCGCTTGGTTTCTCTGCAGTGAATTTAAAGCGAACTTGGTCTGCCACGGCTATAGCAATGTCCGGAGAGCTCGAACACCTAGCAGAGACACTGGTAGAATATTCCTCATTGATGGAAGCAAAATCGACGAAACTCGACTATCTGGTTTGCAATAAGAATATCATGAGGATCGTTTAGAAATTGATAAACCCTATTTCAAGATGAGCGTTGAAATAATTTTATTACTTTCCTGCAGCAGATGGATTATGCTTGGATGATAACTGGCCACAATGCTGTTGATGGGCGGAATATACACACTGACAATTTCAATTTCAGAAATTTTCAGAATCTTTGAACATCTTTACTTTATATATTGTACATTCATATGAGATGTTGCAGGAGATTGATGTGTCAATCGCGTTGATGTGCCAATCTGGAGGTCCTCAGTAGAAGAATTTGGTCTCAGTATAAGAATTCTGCCGGTTTTTCCGCTTTTAGAAGAGGGTATATTTGCTTTGTTTTTCCGTTTATAACGCATCGAAATAATCATTTCCGACCCTTTAAAGTACATATATTCTTGATTAGCGTAAACTTCTATGGCGATCTAAGCATGTCCGTCTGTTGTAATCGCTCTAGCACCTAAACGAATTGAGATAGAACGCCAAAATTTTGCATAGAGTCATCTTTTGTTTCGAACATTGACTAAATCGCTCCACGTTTAGGCATAGCTCCCATATAAGGGTACCTCGAAAAATTTCAGTATTTTGGGGTTCTTGAGCGCGTTTTTAAACTGAATTCGCTGAAATTTGGTACAATGGGTTCTTATTGGATACCAAATTCCTCCACTAAAAATAATAAATATCGGTCCACTTTTTCTGGTGGATCCAATATAACGGTACCCCCCAATTTTCAGTTTTTATCCGTTTTATCCAAATATTTCGTTCGAATTGACTGTAATTTAGTACTTTGAGTTCTTATTAGGTAGCAAATCTCTCCACCAAAAATTATAAATATAGATCCATTTTTTCTGGTAGCTCCCATATAACGGTACCCCCAATTTTCGGTATATTTAGGTTCTTGAGCGCGTTTTTTAACCGAATCGTGTATGGTAATAAAAATCGTTGAAATTTTTATTTCGTGTACATAATTGTTTACATTAATAGGTTTCTAGAACTGTCGGTATAGGCCCACTTTTTGGCATGTTTCCTATATTTTCATTTCAAGTACCTTTCAGTATACCTATGGTGGAGGGTATCCAAAGTTCGGCCCGGCCGAACTTAACGCTTTTTTGACTTGTTTATTTTCTTTTTTGTATAAAAATGATTTCCATATTTTATTCTTCCAATTTTTTCACACATTTTTATGTTGCTCCTGTATTTCCCCTTTATAATTTTTGTATGTATGTTTTAGAATTACAAAACTCGACAGTCTTCAATTAAAAATATTCATAGTAAATACTGTTTTGCCAATGCTCTTAGAAAACGTGACTTTCTTATAGATGCCGCTTCCCGTTTGATTTCATCATTATTGTTGGCATTTAACTCCAAGGTGCCCATAACGGATATCTGGAAAAAGATCAATACAACAGTAAAAATTATTCAAAATAATTAATAATAGTTATTAAAAAAAAAATAAAGATCCCATTAAACCCACCGCTTCTAGTTTTCGACTATGTTCACCCTTTTTGGCATGTAAATTTATGATAAATTCCAATAGTGTTGTATCCCATATACAGCTGTAGTAGGCATCCATGGCATCGGTATAATTTGATGTTTTCTCGGTAAGATTTTTAAAGACAATACCATAATCGATTTCTTCCAAAAACTAAATGGATGAAGAAATAACAGACAATTATTTTAAATTATTAAAGTAAGAGACAGAGTATTCAAACAAACCTGACACAAAACGGTGGCTTGCATATGACAGCCGAGGTTGGAAGAACAACGTATCATTTTCCTAATAATATAATCATCGGCTACATTACGTAGCAGTGGTACATTACAATAATCTGTGCCAGTGACCAGGGCATTTATATAACAACGCATGGCTGCTTCATTATTGCCAATAGCTGAAAAAAAGAAGAAAAAATTAATTATAAGTTAAATGATATAAAAAATAAAGGACGAGGAATAAGAAGCTATTATCCAACCCCTCACTTCAATGGAAACTATTTTGTCTTTTGAGCCATTTCGATTTGGAAAACCACTGTGGTTGAAACGATGAGTATACCAGTCTTGGTTTTCAAAAAAATGAAATTAATGTCAATTATATTTACCTAATTCCAAATCACCCTTCATTTTAAGCCATGAAATCGTTTGAGGATAAAATTTCAAAGCCTCCGTTAGTAGCCAATGTAAAGTTTCACATACCGATCGTATGCTGTAGCCCATGGGACTGAAATTAAAAAGAGAATACACATTGTTTGTTTTAAAATAAATGTAATAATCCAAATATACCCTACACTATTTTGGTGATAAACAGGATGTGATTTTTGGAACAAATCACTCAGCAGTTCCTCTTTCAAAAAATTCCCCGTTCAGATTTCTGAACTTCCCCCCCTACTTACTTGCTTATACTTGTTGGCCACAATTGCATATATTCACCATTTAGGTCATGATTTGGATCATCTTTAAGTATGTTATGGATTTTACCCAACATGGAAATTGTTAAATTGAATAACATTTGATGGCGGATACGTTTAAGGAATGGATAGAGTCCGGTGGAGACGGCCAAGCAGGGAGAATTGCGAGAACTACCACCACCTGAGCCGGATGCACCGGCACTTCCACCCCTTTTTGATGAAGTATTGAGAAACATTGACAGAACCAAATCCCAGGCATCACGACATATCTTTTTGGGTCCTTTCATTTTTTCCATATCCAAAAATGTATTGGCAAACGATATGGCCAATTCTAATTGTGGCAAACGTTTATCCAACATGATAACAGAATTCCAATCGTTGAGATTGAGTAGCATGATGGCACAGCTTTCAATGATCTGAAGGGAAATTTGAATTTAATATTTAGTAAAAAACAAAAATAATAATTAGAAGATGTGTCTCCTACCTCTATGCGTGGTATAATATTATCATTTGTTTGCAACGAACTCAAACACTGTTTACAACGATTGCCCAGCGATTGTAAATCCAAAGTCTTGTGATTCCATTCATCCAAACATTGGGTGATTTGTATTAACAAAATTTCCCAACTGACCAATTTACCCAATTTGGAAATTATCGAAGAGTTTTGTAACTCTGGCCGTTGGGTTTCGGATTTTAATACACTCAACATGGAAACAGCACCAATGTAATCCTGAAAAATACCATATTAGTTTATAATTTTAAATATATCTATGAAAACCTACCCCCTTGGCGGTCATTTCACGGGCCTTGCCCAATAGCACATAGGCAAAATCCTGAAGGAATCCCCTTTGCATGGACATCAGCAAAGATTTTATGGGTGTGGCAATTTCCCAGCTGGGATTTACCGTCCATAGGGGTTTGGTGGGATTTGTTGCAGCCAATTTAACCAAGAGTTTTCGTACCTTAAAAAAAAAACAAAATAAATTATTAAAAAAAAAGAATTTAAAATTGATCCAAATTAAGTCTCACCGTATTGGCATTGGTACACGAAATCAATTGCCTTTCCAATGAACCAATTTCTATGCGCAACATTTTCGAATTGAATTTCCATTCATGCAGCAAAGCCAAGGGTGGTTGCGGCAGTTCTTCCTCTTGTATTTGCTGCTCCAAATCTTGCAATTCAATAGGTGAAAATAAGTTCAAGGGTTGGGCCTCCTGCAGCCATTGTTTATTGGCATGTTTAATAATTGTTTCAATCACAAATTGTTTGAGAAGATTACGTTCGCTCAATGAGCAATGGGGTAAGATGTCTGCAATGCCCTGTAACATTTTTAAAATTAGGTATTTAATTAAATTTTGTATTTGTTTTTAGTACTCTTACCTCAGTTAAAGCCTGAAAACATCCCAGCTGAGCATACTTCTCAAAATAATCCACACTGGCAAATATATTGCCCTCATCGAATATACTGCGTATTACATTGAGGGCAGCAACTTGCATTTCCAATTGCCGGGGCTCTTTTAGGATACCCTGTGAAATGGCTCCCTCAATGTCAAGCTCCACAATACGTCGATTTACCAAGGAAAGTTCCCGGGTGCGATTGTCAAGCTTCAAAATCTCTATAATATCCTGAAAGTAAATAATAAATAACATAAAATTCTATAATTTTCAATTCAAATTCCCTACCTTATACTGCATCAGTTGGGACATATTAAAACGTTCTGTTAATGTCTGCGAATGGGCGCTGAGACCACATGCCAATAAATATCCCTCCAATTCATCTTCTATGACATGGCAGAATACAAATTGTTTGGGATCTTTCCCGACGATTTCATATTCCGCCTTGGTCATATTCAAATAACGACGACATTCGTTAACTGCCTCCCGGGCCAATTGATATTGTTTGGTGTAGAGGTAGAAATTGACCAGGTCGAAATATACTTGTGTTCTTAATTCGGCGGGTGATATTTGTATCATCGTATCAAATTGTTGTGGTACATTTTGTTCATCATTAGGATGGGGTGGTTTAAATGTTTCATAGGCAAAAACATAAAAGGGTTCCGATGATTTACACAACTCCTGCAGGAATTCAATGCTGGGTTGTGGCGAAATGTCAGGGGCGAAAAATTGATGCATTGGTTCCATGGGAACGAACCTGAAAGATGAGAAGAGATTTAATGAAAATTTGTAGCTTTTTTATGGAAAGTGTGAAATCACGTGGTCTGCTGATGGGACAATTATGAGGAGACGGTCCTAAACAAATTACGGGATGGTAGTTAACGTCATTTATTAAACCCCGTGACTCTGGTTGGGATTTACTCATTCAACGTGCCAGAACTATTTCTAGGACAATTCAGGCCATAAATTGAAGTCCCTAGTGTTTATCCTCCCAAAGAGAGCTAATATATAATAAACAAATCTCATACTTACATACTTCCCATGCCAGTGGGTCGGGCCGCCTTCATAGCTATGTCTTTTAAAATCTGTAAACGCAACACCCAACGATGATAGAAGGTTAGGGCAAATTTGGCGGCCTTTTCATTGCCATCGGCAGCTATAATGAAAATCAGAAAACCGCATATTAATCTTTGTAGTTTTTTTAATGGTTTCTGGTAGGCTTAAGACCCGAAGGGGGTTCGTTTTGAAATTCTTACCATAAGAAGTTTTCGGGGTCCTGATTATAACTACATACTTTTTCCTCAGGGATTGGAACTTTCCCGGGGATTTATGACTTGTTTTTATGGACAATTTTTATAACGGCTATGTGAAAAAATCTCCTTGAAAATATACAATCCACTTCAAATTTATACTCGTATCGCCTTAGTGCATTTCAAAAGGCATGGGAAAACACAAGGTTCCCATCGGAATTTTGGAAGTCCTCTCAGGAAGTATTGAATTCCCCCCAAGAAAAGTATACCATTATAATCAGGTCTCCAAAAACTATTTATGGAAAATTTTCAAAATGATCACCTACCGGGCCTTAGTCAAGACTTCTTCCTCTTTTAATTTTTTCAACTACTCACTTATGGTCGCCTGAAATTCATTATTCAATGGTATGCCAACACATTTGCCAAAACTAATGGTACACAAATCGCGCAATAAAAACAATTGCTTTGGTATGGAGAGATTTTTCTCCAGTAGATCCAGATTCCATTTAAGCCATGTGGCCACTTTCAATGCCAACACTTTCAAAGCCATTTGTTTGCGACTTAAACGTAAACCTTCAACATTTTGTTGTGGTTGTTGCCCCACAATGGCTGGGGCTCCCGGTATGACATTGGGCTCCGGAGCGGTTAAATCAAATTGTGGTACAGCAACAATATCATGGGTTGTGGATATAAATTGTGTCAGCAATTCCAAGGCTGAGGGATCTGAGGAAAAGTAAATTAAATTTAATGAATTAATAAATTTTAATCTGTAAATTTCATCACCAAATACCTGGACTGGGTTTCCTCAAATGTTTTGTTATTAATTCGGGATCTAAGAGAAATTCAAACCATAAAACAGTTTCCGCTGCCAGGGGTACTGGTTTGGGTTTTAAAGGATCATCCATGTTTAGGAATTTATTTAAAGTTCTGTCCTCTGTCCACCCGTCTAGAGCAGAGTTGTGATGTTCAGGAGCCAATCAGTTCAAATGAACTATTCACTCAAAGGAAATAAATGAACTAGTTAAAGCTTTTGTGTTTAATACTTTTTTAAGCCCGGTTTAACAGATAATTATTAATTTTATTAAGTAATTTTAATACCAAATTATTTATGAAATACGAATTTTCTCATTGACAAAATAAATTCAAAGTTTAGGCACTAGTTCCTTTTAGCAAAGAGTGAACGAAAATGTTCAACTATGGGTAAACAAATATGACAAAAACTAATGTAAACAAATAATGGGTACTCATAACCAATTGTTGAATATACAATGGAAAATAATCGCAATCAGCTGATTTTTTTTCGAAACATGATTTTAACGGCTAATCAATAAATGCATAAAATATCTTTTAAAATTAAAAAAAAATATGTTTGAGTTTGACGTAAAACCCTTAGGCCAAAGTAGTTGAATGGTACACCTTTTACACTTTTTTTCTTAAAGTTTTTTTTTTGTAAAAATCTTAAAAAAAACCACATGTAAGACAGGGCCATCTATTGTCGATATACAGTTATTTAATTTATCTAATCTAGAGATAATATTAAAGACAAGAACTTGTATGTGGTTTACTATAAATTTCACTAGAGGGAGCTGGGGCATATTAGATTAAGGGTTTAGGACAGTTAAAGTAGCGTAGCTTCCATTGTATGAAGGTGTAATTGGGAATAAGAGGGGATTGAGATTAGGTTTGGTAACTACTTACTTACTAAGCTGGCTTGTGACAGAACTTTCGTTCCGAGCTCAAAAAAGATTTCCAGGTTTAACTGGCTTGTGTTAGAACTTTCGTTCAATAAGCCGAGCTCAAGAAAGATTTCCAGGCGCGTCGGTTTTTGCGTCTTCATCTTCATCCATTCTCACAACATGACCTAGCCAACGTAGTCGCCGCATCTCGATACGTCTAACAATGCCTATGTCCGAGAATAGTTGGTACAATTACCAGTACACTATCTGTAATTAATGTTGAGATCTGTTGCTTCGCAGCGGGATACATCGATAGTCTCCTGTTGTCGAATGCTATTCAGACCTGCTTGATAAGTTTCTTGATATATTTTTGGACTTTTCTGCAGATTCTTCTTAATACACCTGGGCTGGGGAGTTCTGTCCACAATATGTTGGTTGGGATGCCTCTCTCTGAACCACCTAATTAGGTACTGCAAGATAGCATATTGCTATGCTTAATTAATGTGGCTATGTCTTGAGGTGGCACCTTGTTGCAGTTTTCAGGTCGGTGTTCTCGCAGATCTTAATACTTCTCCATTGCGTAGAACTACTATTCGCAGACCACACTGTTACAGCAAAGCTGGTCACAGATTGTTCTATCGCTTTTTAAGAGGTCAACAATGTTTTTAGTCTGTGCGCCAATATGATCCGGAAAACGGCATGAGGGCTTTTTTTCTACTTTTGAACTTATCGCATATATGTACATATCTGTGGTTTGCGTGGAAGGTGTAAAAATGCTAGCGAATGTCAGAATTTCCAAGGGAAGGAAAACCTCTAATTTAGCATTTCTATGTTAACAGAAAGCATGAATTCAGAGTTTATGAATTCAGATGTCCTGTTTATGGAGATAATTATGGGGATGGGATCTGACACAAGAGAAATTACGGACTGTCAATTGACATAATTTATGAAATCAGGTGACACGATGATTATATCTGGTGAACTGTGATATTGTCTCCTTATTAAGGTGAGGCATCATCGTGCAGCTATCAATTTGCTCTGCCAAATGTTTTCCCCTAAGAGGGAATGCCACAAATCTTGGCGTGCATCGTAGTCCCCCTAGTACTAGACAATTATTAGGATTAGGTCGACAGATGATCCGCAACCTGATCATTTATCGATCTAATCCTCTACATTGCCAGGATTTGTCGCAGTATGAAAATCTGGTCTATAGTGGATTTGCCAGGTCTGAAGCTGCATTGATAATATCCAAGTGGAAATCTGGCCAGAGAGAAAATCTGGTTTATAGTGGATTTGTCAGGTCTGAGGCCGCATTGATAAGATCCAATAATATCATTGACCCCAGACTTCGTCGTTCACACAGCACGCTTGATAGCACTTTATAGACTAATTCCTCTATAGTTGGCACAAATAGTATTGTCCCCTTTTTTTACACGGGACACAGGATGCTGAGGTTCCATTCATTGGGTATGTATTCCTATGGACAAATTGTACCTATTAGTTGGTGCATCAGCGTCTGATCATCGGTCTTGAATATTTCGGCTGGTGATCTGTCGACACCTGTTGCTTCATCGTTCTTCAGCCGATTAATTGCTACTCTGACCTCATCTTGGCTAGGTGGTATTCAATCTATACCGTCATCTCTAATTGGTCCAGAAGCTTTGCAAAATGCTCCTTCCAGATCCTCAACACGCTGTCTGTCTCTGTCACCAGGTTTCCTTTTTTTATCCCTACAGTAGGATGTGCCCGCACCAAAAAAAAAGTCGGTTGGTGTTTTACTCGTTGATAAGATTTCCGAACTTCATTCCGACTTCTGTACATCTCAATATGCTCACGGCCATGTTTTTCTTGTTCTATCTCCTTTTTTTGAAAATACGTTTCTCTTCTCACCTTTTCTCCTGATAATTCTCTGTCGCATTGCGTATTGCTCCTGTTTGCGTATTGCTCCTGTTACGCTGCGTTTTTCACCTCAGTAGCATTATGACATCCCTGATCGTACAATGGGTTTCTTGACGGTGGCCTTTGGTACCCATTTGTTGCTTTTGCTGCAGTTTGCCATTGTGCTTCTATATTATTATCGGTACAAGGACGTTCGACGTCGAGTTTCCGTGTTACATTAATTAGATCGCACCTCTACTGAGGGTGCACTTGGTCATTTATTCCGAGACCCTTCCCTTAGATCTACTAACTGACCGCCACTGTCCACCGAGACGTGGACATGCGATGGCTAAATCGTAATGGAACATAATTCTGCTCAATAATATATATTTTAGGGGTCTTTGGCGAATAAGGGTATAAAAAGAAATAGTCGGACAACATATTGATTCTGACAGCTAATAATAGTATTTTCATAAAGCGACATGATCACATCTCAAATTTCTCAAACATGAATATATTTTCAACTATTTAAAAATTCGTTCCTAAATTAAAAATAATAAATTATCGGGAGTCCGTTTGGAGTCCTTTTGGTGTCCTTTCTACAAGTGTTATTCTTTCTTCAATTTCTTCTTTTTGCTCTTACAGGTTTACATTGGAATGCTGATTTAGGCTACGTTTACATTTAACCGGATTTCGTTAACCCAGTGGGTTTCAATTGCCAATTCCTTTGCATATATATCAAATAAATCCTCATAGAGTAGGTTAACCCCGTAAAAAGTTCTAATGTATATGCCGTTTTAGCTCTCCCGCCTAATGAAATATAGCCTTTTCATAAAACGGCCCGGCCACATAGCAAATTGATTGACATCTTCAATTTGATTTTTTAGAAAGCGAAGATCAAACACGAATAAACCTTTTTTCAAATGAAAATAAATCATCCAGTAACTGATTCATTTTGACAGCTAAAGGTAATCTTTAGTGATCTTACCGTTAGGATCGAACAAAGATTAAATAGTATTCAATAGAATACGGCGATTTTAATTACCCTAGATAAAGAAAAGAAACAGAAAAACGACATTAGAAAAAATCCCCTAAAATTTGATTTCACTCTATTCAAAAAAAAAAAAAAAAAATGTATTAGCATGTGTATTAGTGTCAAATATTGATCATTTTGTATACCCACCCATTCAATGGTTTTGCTTGGTTTTGATCATTAAAAAACCAACAACAAAATTAAAAAAAAAATGAATAGCAAAACAAAAAACTTCACAGAAAACCGGTATTCAGAAACAAATAAAAAAACATAAGTTTTGTTTTATGACAACATAGTCATAAAATTTGAATATTAAATGATACGTATGTATTTTTCTTCTTCTTCATCGATTTGGAAATTGTTGAAACAAGTGCATAACGCAAACACACACAATCAAGTATTTATACAGGTGTATCAATCTTTGACTGAGCAGGCTATTGATAGCGGTAATAAAAAATATTTGAAAAATTTTAATTCTATTCAAAAAAAAAGATATATATGCAAATTGATGCGGGTATTTGTACCAAATAGCTTCGTTTCCTAATTTGTTTAATTCGTAAATTTGAAATTTTAATACAACGTTATTCGATTATGAACGAAAAAAAAAGACTGAAACTGGTTTGACATGATCTCTAATAACTCTAATGAACGCACCAAACGGGCAGACAGACAGTCACAGCCAAATGTTTAAAATCGAAATTGCCACAAAAAATTAATATCACAATAAAATGAGTAGATTTCAAATCATTGGATATTTTATGTAAAAAAACAATGTGTTTTAAATTAGTTTCCAAAGTAAATGAAAAAAATATGAATTGAGTCTAATGTTTGGTCTAATAAAATTGTATAAGGAAATAGGTGTTCGGCACATAAAACAGCTGATTAAATATTACATTTCATAATTACACTTAATTTCTATAATATTTTTTGGAGTTTTAATCGAAAGTGTAATAAAACCCAGGAAAAAAACCCACGAAAAACACATCGACACATTCCACCTGTTCGTCGACTATAAAGTCGCATTCGACAGCCCTATCCTGGCATTCCTGCAAAATTAATACGGCTTCAGGATAACTTTAACTGGTACAAGATCAGCAGTTAAAGTCGAAAAGGACCTCTCGGAGCCCGAACGAGGCTTCAGACAAGGTGACAGTTTGTCGTGTAACCTTGTTAACATCCTGCTAGAAAAGGTCATACTAGAGGCAAAAGTGAACAGAAATGGTACTCTGTAGACCAAACAACACATGTTACTCGCCTACGCCGATGACATCGACATAATGGGCCGAACGCTGAGAGCGGTAACAGCCACCTTTGAACA